ACACTGACTTCTTCTACCAGAGATTTAGTATTCCATTCCATTTCTAATTACTTCCTTGAAAGTAATTAAAAATTTCCAGTCATCACACTTATTGTAGAATCATATTGGATTGAGTAAATTAGATATCATTATTTTCATTTAGAGCTGGTAACACTTGCCACCTAAATCGATTGAACCAATAAATGTATAATTTATTTTTAAGTTCATGTTGCCTTTAATATGGAAATTGATTTGGCAAACGGTTCTGTAAGTAAGAAGAGAATGTTTTGGTTGTTATGTAATTAACACTATTAATCATTTGGGAGAGTAGCTAGAAACAAAAGCTGTTTTATAATTTACACAAAGTACAGAAAAAGAAACAACATCTTAGCACGATTATTGAGAAAATAGACATAATTCAACAGAAAACTGTGTGACTCTTTTACATAGCAGTTGTGAGGTACCTTTAGCAATGCAGCACTACCCTCAAAAATGTCAGATCTCTCTTTTCTCATCCTTTTTCACATTTCCTGCAATATTTTTTACGTCTTAATTTATTATTTTTTTTAATCACCAAAAACAACCAAAAAACAACTGGGTTTTTGTTACATGTTGTTAAGAACTACATTGAAATTGAACTTTCTGAAATTGAAACTCCAGGTCATTTTCCATAATGTTTTTGATTTTGAAGTTGTTAATTACCCTTCAGGTCCTTCCCATGATGTGGCAGGTTGACTCTGGAGAGTAAAGCTCAGTAAAGCTGCTCTATCACTCTCCTCCTCAGGTTGACAGTGGAGAGAAAATAAAACAAAAGGATCATGGGTTGAGATAAGGACAGGGAGAGTTCATGCAACAGTTGCCATCATGGGCAAAACAGACTTGACGTGGGGAAATAAATTTATTGTAAATCAAATCAGAGTAGGGTAATGAGAAATAGAACTGAATCTTAAAACACCTTTCCCTCATCCTGCCTTTCTTCCCTGGCTTAAGTTTACTCCTGATTTTCTCTGCCTTCTCCCCCCGAGCAGCTTAGGGGGATGGGTAATGGGAATTGCAGTCAATTCATCAGATGTTTCTGCTGCTCCTTCCTTCTCAAGGGAGGACTCCTTACACTCTGCTCCTGCTCCAGTGTGGGGTCCCTCCTCCAGAGGAGTCCTTCCCACAGGTTGCAGTTCTTCACAAACTGCTCCAGCGTGAGTCCTTTCCATGAGGTGCAGTCCTTCAGGAACAGACTGCTCCCATGTGGTCCCCTACAGGGTCAAAAGACCTTCCAGCAAACCTATATGGGCTTCCCATGGGGTCACAACCTCCTTTAGGGCACATCCTCCTGCTCTGGTGTGGCATTCTCCATGGGCTGCAGGTGGATATCTATTCCACCCAGGACCTCCAGGGGCTGCAGGGGGACAGCCTGTCTCACCATGCTCTGCACCACAGGCTGCATGGGAATCTCTGCTCTGACATCTGGAGCACCTCTTACCCCTCCCTTCCTGACCTTGGTGTCTGCACGGTTCTTTCTGTCACATATTCTCTCCCCTCTCCCTGACTGCAAGAATGTACAGGATTTTCTCCCCTTCTTAAATATTTTCTTATGGAGGTTCTACCACTGTCACTGATGGCCTTGGCCTTGGCCAGGGGTGGGTCCATCTTGGAGCCAGCTGGCATTGGCTCTATTGGCCATGGGGGAAGCTTCTAGCATCTTCTCACAGAAGCCACCCCTGAAGCCCCCCACTCACTACCAAACCCTTGCCATGCAAACCTGATACACATGAACAAATACGATGTGTTTTCTGAGCTTCTTTTTGTTGTTGTGTTTTGTTGTTCAGGGGTTTTTTTAAGAATCTGACCCTTCCTAACCTACAAGCTTCTCTGTAAACCTCATTATAGTTCTTGCCAAGATTCTCCTTTTTCATTACCTTGCAGACCACCTAACCTTTCTTTGAGTTTCTTGATTGCTTCTCTTTTTATCTTAACGCAAGAAGTTTGGATTTGCAGCTCTTAAGAATATACATCACATTCCAAATCTATGCCCCTCAACGTTTCATTCTCTCTCAGTCATCCTATTTATTTTACCAAAGATTCCAGCACTGACTCTTTGCCTTTTTATTTTCTGATTCCTATTCCTTCCCTTTCACCAAACTGAATTTCTTTATGAAACACCCATCCGTGACATATTGACTGAAGAAGGAAATTCTTAAGTGCCTAAGTTAGGAGGCCTGCCTAGGTTCTTTAGATGATAAACAAAAAGCTTGCCTGTCAGAACAATTCCAAATACCTATGCTAGACAGTATGACTATCCCTCTCAGCTCCTCTAGCTTTTATTTTGTCTCCTTATTGAGTTTCTTTGTTAAATTACAGCACTGCAGTGTCTACAATAGAATAAATTTAATGTCACTGATCCTCAGCTGCACAGACTCATACCTAAAATATAGAGCTTTCCTGACTATTAATCTTTGCCTTATCTCCTTTTTCTCCCTTCTGTTGGTTTTTATTCTCACTTGAAAGTTACACCTCCTTCTACACTGTATAATCTTAAGAGCTACAATTCAGTTCTGCACAAATGGTGTGAATGCTACTATTTACCAGTAGCATTGTGTCTGTCTCTGCAGAGGTGTTCTTAAAATTCCTCACAGTGTTTGTTCCTGCTTAATCTTGGTAGAAATAGAAAGGATCACGTTTTTCTAGCTGGAAGAATGGCTATTCAGAACAAATTTCTTTCTGACATACTGCTTCTATGGCCCTCAGTGCTTTGTATTGTTGTTAATGATAAAACCAGCTGTTTAATGAGCAACATTCCCACTGAATTGATTGTGTGCCAGTTGAATGCAGTAAAACCTGCTTTTTTCTTGGTTTAGGGAAATAATTCCTGATATGTAACCTGAAAGTCTTAGGCCATTTGGCTGCACTCATTCTAATGTACATTCTGTCATAATTACCTAGCAAAAACTTGAGGGGTTCATCTTCATTACTTCTTTTTTTTTTTTACACATTAATGTCATTATTCTCATTTTGAAAATTACAGAAAACTCCCAGCAGAAGACTGGGAATCCATTCTTGCTGTAAGCACTTTAGCAACGAATTGCCTCAATTAGATATTTCAAAGCTAGATGGCTACTCCTGAGCTGCCTCAGGCTCCCTCTGGAATCAATGGAGAGAAATGGGCACCCCTAACATATAGTTCATGTCAGCCTATGCTGAGGATGTAAGGTGCCTGAAATTACTAGGCATGTAGAGGCAGCTTTTTCTAATGCAGAGTAGCTTGGGTTTGGATGTCTAACTTTCAAAAATCTAGACTTAGATGAATCCTATGCCAGAACTCACTAAAAGGCCTCCTTTTTAAAAAATAATTATTTTTTACTTCAACTGCGTGGAAATAGAGCAACTTGGACCTTGCAAATATCTAGCATTAATTTGAAAGATTCTTGGCTTTTAGTCTAGTTTCTGGTCATGTTAACATCCAGACTATGATCTGTCTGAAATTTCCTACTTTCATTCAATAAACCTAATATTCAAAATGTATTTTCTCCTTTTGGCCATTCTGTTCCTTTTTAGACTGATTTGTTGAGGTATTGGATCCTGTATTTCCCTAGCCTTTTAGGCATGAGCAGTCTAATACTTGTCTTCATCTGGGTTTGCTCTTCCCAAGCAGTTCACATGTGCCGTAATATGTTCAAGAGAAAAAATTTAATCTTTGAAATTGGACTTTTTTTCTTCCAAAGACAGTGAGTTACGTATTGATTGGGCCTGGGTGATCCAACCATTTGAAATATCTTATTGTAACTGTATTCTCCAGCAAGGTCAATTTCTTATTCTTGCAGCTTCTCTGGAAGACTTTCAATTTTGTTTTGAATGAGATATCTCACTTCTGTAAGCCTGTATTACAGGATTTCTGTTCAGAAATTCCAAGTTGGTCAACTCTGTCCCTGGACCTCCCCATTTTAGGAAACATTTTAACTTAGGACAATCTAACTTCTGGTCATCTTTTCAATTCTTTTTGCTGTTTAGATGATCTTTAAGGTCCCTTCTAACCCCAACCATGCTATCCTATGATTTAATGAACAGTATTATGTATCTAATTCTCAGAGACACCCTTTAGTACCTGGTGGTTCCAGATGAATGCAGTCATCACATAAATAACATTTCAACAATTTTCATTATAAAAAAGAAACATGCAACTTTAAAATACATTAGTGATAATCCTTCCTTCAGGCTGGTGAAGCACCTTTTAAAGATGTCAACACAAGATGGCAGTAAACAAGTACAGAAAATTTCACATAAACATTGTAGAGGAAATGACACTATGGGTAACAGCACCATGAAGAACTTCAGCAGAATTGGATTGCTGTCAAATGATCCATTTCAACAGTTAGTTAACATTTATGTGACAGCTTAGTCTTGTTAATTTCTAAGAAATTAATTAATTCATTCTTAGTTACGTTGATTAAATATTTAGAATGCTGAAGCTGAAGTTGGCTATTTCAGTTTAAAGAAAACTTTGGCCACCTGGTCATGATAGATAGATAGATAGCATGATAGATAGATAGATAGATAGATAGATAGATAGATAGATAGATAGATAAGTAGGTAGGTAGGTAGGTAGGTAGGTAGATGATAGATAGATGCATAGATTCTGCATGTTCAACTCTGCTTTCATTCTTAGTTTTCAAAGTTGACACATAGCTATGAAAAGCTACAGTCACATCAGTTAAAACAAAACAGGACTGAAGGTCAAGAAGGATGTGAGGAAAGCCTGGAGACACCATCTGCAGTGAGCAGTTTATACAGGCAACTGGAGGTAAGAATACTTTGGTTATTATATTCTATTTTTAATATGCCTTTAGAATTAATTTGTCTTTTACAGTTGTAAAAATTAATTTCCTAACAATTATGAAAAATCATATAATTTCCTTACTCTGGCAAGAAAAGGTGCTTAGTTTAATGTTCTGTCCAAGTATTATTAGTGGTTTTAACAGTTTTATGAATTAATATAGAGAATATTCTTCAAAAGCGTAACTGTAAAAAAAAAAATCACATTTTTCCTGATTAGTATATGTGTATGGGATAATATAATCTGTTGAGACTGAAGCCTTTATGTATTCAGGATGCCATCCCATAATACCTATCATTAGTTCAAGTTTTATAGACAACTTTGACCATTTAGGCCTAGGTAGAAGAAAGATTTAGGATTGTAAAACTGTTATTCATGTATCTTGTCAGAAGCCCCATGTCCACAACCTTGAGCTCAGTACCTGGTTTCTGTAGGTAACACACGAGGAAGGTTTAGGCCATTAAAAACACTTTCCTCAGAATCCAGCATACTGAGTGAGGGTAGATACTCTGAGATGAGGAGGACAGGATTCAGTCATATTCCCTATCTCTCTGGACACAGAATGGATTTTAGCTGATTTATTCTTGGTTACAGGAAGATCCTGATTTCTCATCACAATTCCCAGCCTTGACAGTTAGAAGTTACTTTATGATCTGTGGAATAATCCAATATTTATTGGCCCAATAGGAGAATTAGCCACCACAGAGAACTGGCATGTAGAGGTTGTCTCTCCAAGTCTTGGCTTCTCCCAAACACTCTTCTGTCTACATTCACTGGTTCAGAAACTGATACCCAGTTTCATTTCTTAGAATTAAGCAATGTAATCTCTAGCTGTACTACCTTTCACTTCCTATTTTACTTATCCAATAAATATGCTGGTGTCCCTTGTAAAGTGAAATAACTTCAGAAGGAAGAATTCCAGAGTCTGTTGAAAACTAAAGTGTTTTTTTGTTTGTTTGTTTGGTAGAAAATTAATGTGGGAAGATTCTGGTTCAGATTCTGTCTGGAGAGAAGATTATTAAACTGAATCTTCCACATATGGGGAGAACAGCCTAACCACTACTCTTTTGAGGAGGAGGATCATAAAAAATACATTTATATTTTCTTTGGCCATTCTTTGTAACGAGTTTTTGCATTTTTCTTTAGCAAGTGTTTTCAATTTACTTCTCCCCTGAGTTTGGGCTGTGGCTTTGAGTGCCAGCTCTGCTCCATGTGCAGCCCCTGGATGAAGGGTCTTGCAGCAGGAGACAATCTGGGACCAGGTGATGGAGCCTAATCTGCTCCCCTGGAGATTTCCTCCAAAGGACGTAACACAGGTCAGGAAGCTCACATCAGACTTGAACATTTTACCAGCTGTGGGTGAGGTTTTTATCCATGGCAATAGTCCAAATTAATGCAGGATATCAAAGGGTTCAGCTGGCAGAGGATGACAGTGAAGTAAACCTGTGTGGAAGCATCTTGAGTGCACAACAGGAGTGAAACATGGGACTGGAAGCACAAGCAGTGGATAGGGAGGCATTGCTGGGGTGACACCAACAAGGCAAGGATGCATCTGGTGGGGAGCACTTCCAGGGGCCTCTGGAAGCACAGAGGGATGATCCAAGGTACCACTGGAGATTATTCAAATAATAAGGTAGCGTGTGCTTCGAGCTTTTGCTAAAGTGGGTCCTGCAGGGAAAGTAAGCAGAGGAATACTAGTTGGAAGTGTGAGCTAGTTGCCTAGTTGCTAAGCATTGTGAAGATTTATGGGCTTCTGATGTAGATTTATGTAGATTTATGATAGAGATTATTGAGACACTTTCAGAACTTTGCAGTAAAAAAAATAAGATTTCATAGATTTTAAGTACTTTAATGCTTAAGCTGCAAATAAGAAGAGCTTCAGAATCTCTCTTTTGGCCTTGCCTATCTTCTGTGTTGTTCAGTAAGATATAGGACTAACTTCTGTGACTTTCATGTGACTGTTCCTACATTAACAGGACATAACCTAGACACCTCTTAGCTCTACAGCATGTTCATGTTTTTTCCACATGTGAGAGCTGTTACCATCAGAAAAGACACTTTGGGCTACAGTGTGGCTGCCTACATCTGCTACTACAAGAATAATAAAAGGGTTATACATCTTTTGTTGTCTAAATATATCACTACTGTGAAACTGTCTGATCCAGCTAATTTGAGAATGACCTTATTCAAGATTAAAATGTGAAAATAATGTAACACAATGCTATAATTTGATTAATTACACTGAATGAAAAATGAGTGCTTGGAATACATTCAGCAAATTCTAGTGTTCAGGAAATAATTAGTGTGTTGAAAATCTATGAAGCTCAGCAGTGCTTTAGTAAGGCCTTGAAACTTCAGTCCTCATTAAGTAATCTGAAAGACCATTTGTGTCACATTTTGTAAAATGGTAAGATGTGTCTTGATTTAAAATGCCAAAGCAGATATTAGGAAAGCTGTAAGAGAAGATCTGTATTAATCTATGCTGGGAAATATTCCATTTTGTTTCAGTAGCAAATAAACCCTTATTTTTTAAAATTTGGGGAATATGCCAGTGTAGAGTAATTATAAAAAATAATCTGTCTTTTTGGGACCTACATTTCCACTGTGAAAAAGGAAGTTCTCGTAATAGCTTAGAAGTGTTATAGTTTTCACTGCATGAAACAGTATACTGTTATTTTGCTAATTCTTCAAACTAAGAGAGCAACAGCTTCAGAAACTGCAGTTCTACTTTTTCTGCAGGATACTGTCTTTAAATTCTAGTTGTGAATATACAGATCTGGTATGATTTAAGGAAAATTCAAAGACACTATAAGTAGGAACATAAGTGCAAATATGAAAACAGTATTAGATGAACCTGATAGATTTTGTTAAACAAGCTTTTCTTTAAACTAGGCAAACTCAGAACCAGAAGCAGCAATTGTAGAGAGAGCAAGAAGTAAAATTTATTCACAGTAGCTGTTGTCCCAATTGTTAAAACAAAGCCAAACCAAAAAAAATAAAATTGCTCAAAAGATTTGCCTAAATATTAAGGGTTTGGTTTACTTCACTCTACTTGACAATTTAAAGTCACAGGAACTGCTCTCCAATCAAATGGGTATATTATAGTCATCACTTTAACATCTACAGCAATTGAAAGGACTTAAAATATTTTATAATTTTTATTCAACAATTATGTTTTGCACCCATTTTTTTCAGATTAAAAACCCTTAAGGCTGGAATTTTTTCTGGTGGGGATGACTGGATCGCTGCTTTATATCATTGTTCTTTGTTTCTTCTTTCCAAAATTATGGGAAGATTATGTATTAATTAAAAAACTAGAGTTTTCTTAGAACTATACAAATTACAAAGTTATTTAGATTAAGGAAAAAAGCTTTTCACCCTGTGTTTAGTATCCATGTTTTACTGTCTTTCAGGAATTTAAGGCAAAATGGGATAAGAAGAGGACAATCTGCCAAAATTATCTCCTTTATTTAGATGCTCAACAAAAATTATTGTCTGAAAAATGTAATTTATTTCAGGTAAATTCCTGCTTTAGGAAGAAAATTAGAATTAAATGAGCTGTCAGCTCAGCTGGAGTTGTTTTAACTAAATTTTAAAAATCTGAACCCCACCAAGCTTACACTGAATCTGACAATACATGGATATGTTGGTTGTGAATACATTGCTGAGGTGAGGCAAACCCACACTGAAAGATCTAATGATACATACAGTTACTTTAATTTTATTTTTCTCATTAAAATGAGAAACTGAGTGTCATGATGAGAATTACAGTACTTCTGATTTAAAAAAACTGCAGAAACAGTGCATGTTTCCTTTTACTTTTTTAGTATCTTGTGGAGAGACTTTAATCTTCTATGCTATTTAGTAATATGCAGTTAATTGCAATGACAAGTTATTGAAAAGTATCTTACCAAGTAATCAGAACTTGCCACTACGAGGTTGCAATGGTGTCATGTACAAAGGTCTCTCAGATCTAAAAGCAGCCCTCATTTTTCTGTAGATCATAAATATACATTAATAGAATTTATACAGTAAAATTAATTTTTGTATGCTATCTAAGATCCCACTGGAGATATTTCTTGGGTCACTTAACCCTTTTTTATCATACTTTTCATGAAATTACCATTCAGTACTTGATTGACTTCGTGATTCTTTTCTTCTGCCAATTTGCTAATTACTTTTTTTTTCTTTACATAGCCCACAGATCTGGCATATTTTTATTTTTTTTAATTCCTTCCAATCCAGAACAAAATATTGATTCAATGACCCTGCTTTAAAAATAAAAAGAAAAATAACTGGGCAACAAGCGAGCTTGAAAATGAAGGGAAAGCCAATTATGTTGCTGACTGATGATTCCCCTTTTCCACTGTTAGTAAAATGATTGGATTGTAATCTTGTGAAACACTCCTGACAATTCCTGTGAGACTGTTTACCCACACCCATACCCAAAGTTTCCAATGGTTACAGTTAACTTTTGCTTATGGAATAGCATTATATTGCAACTATTGAACTTCCATACAAATGTGTTGAAAACAAGGCAAGGCTCTGACTAGACTAAACTACTGGCATGTTGAAGGAAAGTCAAAATAGAGTACTCAGGTGGATCTCCACATTAGTCTGTTGAGGCTTACATTGCTCCATCAGTGAGCTTTACTTGAAGACAGTTTTCTTCACAACTATAACATAACACCAGACAGTTTATTAAATAGAAATCAGATGGACAGTCCTACCTAAGCTGTTTCAAAAGCATTAACTGGTCCTGTTGTCTTTGCTCACACTCCTCTTTTGTGATGTCTTGGACTTCCATCTGGAGGCTTGCACCCTGTTTTTCACAGGATACTTTGACATTCTGGTGTGTCAGATTCCACAGCATAGATGTCAGGGGGACCTTAATTTGTTATATATAGAACTTAAACTTAGCTGGAAATGTCTTTGGCCCTTTATTTGATATGCAGCCAGTGGTCAGTTTTGCTTAGGTGTTCAGCAAACACACATTATGAGAGCAGTCACTGACATCAAAAAGCTGTCTAAAGCATGTCTTTTTTTCAGACCTTATCAATAAAATATGGTATCTGTAACCCTATTTTTAATATACATTTTCTTGCTCAGCTTGATTTCTGCACATGATACTTGGTTTCCAGGTTATATTCTGTTGTCATTTTTCAGCTAATTCTCAGCCTTCTGAAAGATTACTGCTGCATGTAGAGGGATGCATGTGGACATTTTTTTTAAGAGCAAAAGCAGTTACCATAGTAATTATGCTTCTTCATGATGCCTGTGAATTCACTAATACCAGCAATACCAATTTTCTGAAGTTTTGGGTTTAGGATTTTAAGTAGTACAAGAAACTGAATGGGGTGTGAGACTCTGCAGAATGCACAAATGATTCTTCTCCAGGTTTAAGGATAATGATACCAAAGAAATTCAGTTACTGTACTAACTGAGCTGTTTATCCATGAGCTATGTAATGCTCACTCTCCAGTCAAAGGTTAATATCTATCCTGAGGCACACACAGACATGACTCTTACTGAGTTCAATGAATCAAAGAAACATGTCTCTCAAATTATTTTTTATAGGTAACTGCTTTGAGTAGGTCATCAAAATCACCTTTTTCACATTTGGGTTAATTAACATCAAGTGCTAAGGAAATACACAGCAGAGAAGACAAATACTTGAAAAAAATCTGTGCCCTTGAAAGTATCTGAAATATTTTTTCTTACTGAGGGCAAAGAACTTTAGACTAAAAAAGGAATTCTTCATATCCAAATACTGATGAAAATGGAAATAGCTTTATGATTTTAGTAGTAATGGTTTGGTCCTAACAATTTTCATATGATTATTCATTAAATGAAGTTAATTTAATGGATTTTCTTGTTTTATAGAAGCAGACTCAGAATTATCAATTCCAAATAAGCAATAAGAAACAAAACCAAGAAGAAGTAATTACCTGTGGCCAGCCTGAAAGTGAAAATGATGAGTTGATTATGGAAAAGCTAAAGACAACTGTGAATGAAATAGCAACAAACAATAAGAAACTAGAAGAGGAAAATCTGAAACTCCGGGAGGATATAAAAATGTACCAAAACCATTGCCAGGTAGTAATAGATTTTCTTTTTCATGATGACTATGGAATTAATTTTGGAGCATTAATTACTTTGCAGTATACTTTTAAAAGTTATACTGAGGTGCCTGTGTAAAAGAAACTTACATTAGGTACATTCTTTGCAGGAACACAGAATGAGCTGTGAACAGCACCATGTTTTGAGTAACACTTAAAGATATGAATTCGATGGATGGACCACTTGGTGGATAAGGAATTACACAAAGTGGTTGGAGTTGGAAGGGACCTCTGAAGATCATCTAGTCCAACTCCCCCTGCTAGAGCAGGATCACCTACAGTAGATCATAAAATCATAGAATGTCTTGGGTTGGAAGGGACCTCTAAAGGTCATCTAGCCCAACCCCCCCTACAATAAGCAGGAACATCTCACACTAGAACAGATTGCTCAGAGTCACTGGACGCAGTGATCACACAGGAACACATCCAGTCAGGTTTTGAATGTCTCCAGAGAAGAAGACTCCACAACCTCTCTGGGCAGCCTGTCCCAGGGCTCTGTTACCCTCACAGTAAATAAGTTTTTTCTTTATGTTTAGCTTGAGAAAACAGAAGTGTGATTGATATGTCGTAGTATATTTTATTCTTGTCTGTTTATCTAGATTTTTACAACTTTCCTATATCCATAGTATCTACAGGAACTTATGTTCACTTGGTTCCTTGTGTATAAATGACTTCTAGAGACAGAGAAGGGCCATGAAGATGATCCGAGGCCTGGAGCACCTCTCCTATGAAGACAGGTTGCCTGGGAAGGTTGTGGATGGCCCCTCCCTGGAAGTGTTCAAGGCCAGGCTGGATGGGGCTTTGAGCAACCTGGTCTAGTGGGAGGTGTCCCTGCCCATGCAGGGGGGTTGGAACTCGGTGATCTTTAGGGTCCCTTCCAACATTAACCATTAACAGTCTATGATTCTGTCCCTTCCAACCTAAACCGTTCTATGATTCTATGAAATCTCTTTATCTGATTTACACTCTGTTGTGCACTGTGCCATATAGCTAGTAAATAAGTATATAGAAAAGTGTATGGTGTACTTTAATATTGAGAGAAGATTTTGCAATCAATGAATTTTTAAGTTGCCAACCATGTGAAGAACCATCAGTTTTTATCTTATTCCTAGAGTACCATTTTTCAACATAGCACTGCCCTTTGGGCCTCTTCTTTTGCTTGTGATATTTGAGTTCAGACAAGATTGAGATAATACAAGATCTTTACAGCCTTTTTGATTACTTATATTTAAAACAGATCAGGAATGAGATTCTTGTTGATGTTTGTTTCTGGTAACATATATAAATTTTGCTTTTGCTTACTTATTAAAGCACTTCCAGGTTTAGCAATGTATTAAGTGGCCTACAATGACTTTGACTCTTTCTGGAGATGGGTAATTTATTTCTGTTTATAGACAACCTGGCTAACTTATCACTTCATATGCATTATACTTTATAGGAATTTACATGTATGCGGTGGAGATTAGTTTCAGGTGTTGTTGGAACAGCCAGGTTTAGCACATGTTGTTTATAGGTTTCATTTGCTCATTGATTCACTGAGTCACTTGCCTGTATACAATTTATCAGTATGCCAGCAGGAACCTCTGCTTTGGGACCTGTTAAAAAGGCTGCCATCAAAAGTAATGGGACTAGAATATGGAGGAAAATATGAGACTAATCAAAGTGGAGAGGGAGGTGCTGATCTCCCTAGTACCCAGCAATGGGAACTGTGGGAATGGTTCAGAGCTGCTCCAGGGAGGTTTAGACTGATCATTAGGATGTATTTGTTTACTGAAAGGGTGGTCAATGCTCATGCCTGTCAGTGTCTGAGGCATTTGGACAATGCCCTTAATAAAATGTTTCAACTTGGTCAGCCCTGAATTACTCAGGCAGTTGGACTAGATGATCGTTGTAGGTCCCTTTCAACTGAAATTATTCTATTCTATTCTATTCTATTCTATTCTATTCTACTTCTACTTCTACTTCTACTTCTACTTCTACTTCTACTTCTACTTCTACTTCTACTTCTACTTCTACTGCTATTCTATTTCTATTCTATTTCTATGGCACTTGGAGCAGATGGATGGATTCTGTACAACACAGAGGGTAGATATCATTGTGGTGTAGCCTTTAAGAAAATCTCAAGAAATAGGATTTTTGGAAGCACATTAATAGACTACAGGAGCTGTAGGAAGCACTGAAGACATTTCAAGTAGAAGTGGAGCTAGATGTACATAATGTTATCAGCTAAAGAACAGAAAGTTGCAGAGGAACTGTGCTGATAGTGTGAAATGCTGCTGTGTAAGTTAGAAAAGCAGCATTTGCAAATAGCTGCAGAAGGGAAACACTGATGTAAAGTCAATGTATGGTGAAAATATTTAGCTCAGTGACAGTATTATTTTTAGAAATGTCAGTATGAGAAAGAAGGAAGTGCAGGGCCTTTTGTCAGCCAGAATGAGGAAGCAGGTTTGTGTGAAGGAGTGGTAGGTGGAGGATGGGAAGAGCTGGACTGGATGTGGGTAAAGGAGGGAGGGGTAGATGGGAATCTCGGTGGGGAGCGAGCAGATGGCAGCCTAGTGTTGTGCCTCTTACATCTTCTCATGACCATTTAATGTCTGCTTCTAAATATTTCTGTCATACTATTAATTAGCAAGGCAACACTTATAAAGTGAAATGTGTGGAAGACCAGTCTTTGAGCTGCACAGAAAATAAGAACTTTATAAAATCCAAACTTATACTGCAAACTATTTCTCTAACTTATGAAAGGTCTGACAAACTTAACTGCAGCCATACATGAGAGGCAGCCTGAAAACAGCACAGAAGAGGTTTGGTTCTTGGAAAGTCTGCATTAAGTCAGCTGCTGGACACTAATTTATATAGAAATACAGCATATAATTGTATTAAAAGGGCTGAACAGCTTTGAGTAGATTTAGAACAGGAGCCGATCAGGACATTTTTGAGCCTTCCTTTTGATATCACACACAGCAAGCTAGTTGAAGCAAAACTCTTCACAGAAGAAGAGAGGATTTGGCAAATTTTTCAATTTAAAACAAATTCTCAGAGCTCTAGTTCATTAGACATTTTCTTTAAAAATCTCTAAAGTTTTCTGGTTCAAAATTAATTGTCATTTTGGTGTTCTAACTAGATACAATAGATATTTCCTAAAATAATAAGTGGTACCTATCTACATCTTTTTTTTCAATTATTGCAACTGCTGCTGCTGTTCCTGCTATTCTTGTGATACAATTAATGTAAAGATGTATGATGACTGCAGTCTGCCACAGATTATATGACTTCCACCACACAATTGTGCAGCATTATCCACCCCAGAATTAAACAAAAAGGGTAACCTTCTCCCACTATATTACAAAATAGTTGTGGCTACTTCGTGAAAGTTGGAGTCATGAAGATGGTCATTAGCAAGTCTTGCACACAATTTTCACAATTCATTAAGCTTGATTTCATTTGAATAGATCCTGACTTGCATTTCAGGGTTTAAAAAAGCTCTCTCAGCCTTAATTTAGCAAAAGCTAAGGTGAGTGGATCTATATACGCAGAAGAATGTGAAAGTGCTTTATATCCATCTTCAGCAGCCCTTTCAGCCAGAGGAAACTCCAAGCTCTTGCAAGGAAAGTCATTACAATATGAAGCTTAAAGGGAAATAAACCTTTGAAGTTCCTTCCTGGCGGTGTAATTTCTAGATTCCAGTTTTCTTTTGAAAGTTTAAAGGCTTTATTTTTACTTTCAAACATGGAAAATATATTAACATAAAATTAAGAAATTATGAAAATGCTAGTGGTTTTAGTATAATGGTTTTAAAGAAGACATTATTGAGAAATCCTTTTTTAAAAAAAATCTGGAACATGCTTTTGGATCTTGGGTGAGAGGAAATAAGCATTCTCTGCATGTTATTATTGCAAAAATCTGATTATTATCGCTGCCTTTGTTAGTTGTGGGTTGTATTTCTTATCTTTCTTATCTTTAGTCTGTTTTCAGTATATTTTGGGGTAATTCTGATTTTTTAGGAATTCAGATTTTATTATGCCTATTATAACATATATCTTTAGGAGCAGGTTGTCTATCACATAGGTTAGAAATTAAAGCTAAAATAGAGAGATTTGTGGAGTCCTTAAGAAAAATTTTGTTAGTGATTTTTTTAAATGTCAGAATGTTCATTTAAATTAGCAGTTTGCTCCATGCAGATGGAACTACTTTTGGAGGTGACTGAGCACACACCTTGCCTAAGTACTTCAGTCTAGATGTATCTGCTCCAAGCTTCCAGGCAGTGTTTAATGAAGACCAGCACCTAATCCTGCCTTTCTGTGGCCTTGGACTTTTCAAGCATATAAATTCGGAAATGCTGATAGAAAACAGAAAATCCAAGTAACTTACAGCACTAATTCCTGCACGTGAGGCATGTTTTAGGGTACAGAACCTGCTGAAACAATCAGACTATGTACAATAAAGAACTCGTGGATTTTATTTGCTATGATAGCTTCAGAGACAGATGCACTGGCACATTGCAAGAGCTAAAGAATATTTAGCATCTGACTTTTTTATATGACATTTCTGAAGAAAGGAACTGACATGAAAGGAATGCCTTTTTCAGAAATGAAACTCAGAATAAATGCATGTCAGTCCTTTCAAACAAATTAGACAGGTATTGAAAATTGTGTATTAAAATGCAGCATTGTGAGCTACTATTTTCTCATTTTATTTAACTATTTACGTATTTGCTTGTTTCTTTAGAACATGGAGGCAGGACTTTCAGAAATGAGAAATGAGCTGCAGTCACGGGATGCTCTCTGGAGAAGGATACAGCTGGAATGCCAGCAGTTACACACAGAATTATTGAAAGTCAAAGAGCATAAAGATATGCAGGAAATTCAAATAAGGTATGTATGTTGAAGACAGTATTTAAACTAGGAAATACTTTTGAGCTAACAACTTTTCAGAGAATCATAGAATCATTAAGGTTGGAAGGGACCTTAGAGATCATCAAGTTCCAACCCCCCTGCCATGAGCAGGGACCCCTACCACTAGATCAGGTTGCACAAAACCTCATCCAACCTGGCCTTAAAAACATCCAGGGATAGGGAATCAAGAACCTCACTGGGCAACCCATTCCAGTTCCTCACCACCCTTAGAGTGAAGAATTTCATTTTACATTTGATTTAAATTGTCTGTTTAAAAAGACTGGATTCAAATATCAGATTCTAAACAATTTTATAATAAACATTTTCATTAAGAATTATTCATGAGAGGATGGCAGGTAGTAGATGCAGGGTCTGTTGAAAAGCTGTGGTGCTGCCTAGATTTTTACAAATCAATGTATTTCATTTATTTCTATGTTCACGGAGATGTTTGTTTTCTCAGCATTAGAAGACTTTGGAAGTAGTGTGATTAAGATTCTCCCTAATCTCCTTTGAGTAAAATGTTCCTCTGTTTATGGCTTATCTAATCTACTGTAGCTATTTGAGATTATATGAAATACGTTTCAGGATTCTTTCTGCATCCACTTGCATTGTCCTTAATCTCTAGTTATCTTCCAAGACTGAACCTGGTTCAAATCTTTTTGGTGTTTTGTTTGTTTTTTTTCATCAGGGAGCAGGTCTTCCACAGTTTTCCACTGAGGAGGGGATGCTGCAAGGTAAAGGTTATTGAACATTCTGCTTGTTTCATGTTTTGTTCATTTCTTATTTAAAGGCATCAGTCATCTTGTGTACAACTCACTGAACAACTAGAAAATAAAAACGCTGAGTTACTGCTGTTGGCACAAAGTCAAGAACAGCAACGAGAAGAGCTAAACAAGGTATTTCATATTGTTAAGTATTTCCAGATCTTAATTGCAATATGGGATTGAAAAAAGAGAGCAGAGTACTGACCTGGAGGATATGCATGTGCAGAGAGAGCAGGAGGATAAATTGTGGTTTTGGAAGTGCATGAAGTTTTCATGAATAAAAGTTTCTCATATATGGTTGCATTTCTGGAGGCAGCTGTTGAGCTGCAGAACTGACACACTGATGCTGTGCACCCACAGCAGGGCTGGCTACTTCACTGAAAGAATGGAGAGACCATGCCTAAGCAGCCCTGTGGTTCAGATCATACCTTGCAAGCAGGAAACCCTCCAAGGCTATGAGTATTTCATAGGCTATAGGGGTTAAGTAGTAGTTTGTAGGTGGTCTCAGATGTAACAGACGCTACCAGATCAACTGCTACAGGTCACTAGAGCAGGTACCCACACTAGGCTAAGATGAATCAGTCACTTGCTGCACAGTCTAGGCAAGAACTCTTCAGTTTGAGCTATGCATGACATTGCCTTGCCCACTTCAGAATGTGCAGTCTGTGCAAGCAGCAGTGCATGGCACTGTGGAATGGCATATGGCTTGGCAGGGCAAAGCATTTGGGAGTAGAGCATGCACAGAATTCTTCCAGGCATGTTGTGGTTTTGCTGAGTAACAATGTAAGCAGGAATATGTCTTATGGGATGCAGAAATTTTGGCATTATAGTCATGATCTAGCCCTTAGATTTTTCACATCTACATCTATTTGTTTACAATTCTAGTACTTCTGTGTAGTTTGCATAAATAAAAATGAAATGCCATCTGCTAGTGATTGTGTACAGTACTGTGAGGAATTATAGAAATGGGTTCAAAGTTTGTTATGCTGCCTTTTGGAGTTTTGTTTCTTACATAACACAAAAATCTGTCAGTATTAAATTGTTCGTTTCAGTAGAGAGATTATGAAAACAATCTTTGTGTTGATTATTGAAGAACTCTTCACAGGAGATAGTGCAGAAAGTTTGACTTTAATTGTTATTTATAATGGCAGGAAAGATTTCCATAAAGTGATTTACCATGTATACTCTTTATTTCTAAAATAGTTTCTCATTAAAGAGTCTCTAGATTTATTTTTTTATATTGGTCCCAAGTTAATTTACACTGCATTAAACTGCTTTTAAACTGAAATTAACTTACGAGCAATATGAATAAATCATACTTAGGTTTATTGAATTAATATTTCCTCATATATTTTTGTTATAAATTCCAGTTTTTAAGATTAACATAATTTTTACATTACATTATTTTTAAATGTTAATTTAAATGCCTTGTGGTTTTTTTGTTTCTACAACACAAGAGAAGGGTTGAAAAAAAATGTAAAAATAAAGCTACATGCTCTGACTCATGAAGACGTTTTATTACAAAATCTCAAACTTCTCTGATTTGGCTAGAAGAGCTGGTGCCTTGAAAGCAACAGCAAAAAAAGTCACCAGTAGGTAGTAAGTAATGCAATCAGATCATCATATTTACTGCACAACATTTTTTCTTTTTGAAACATATTTTCTCCAGATAAGAAACCACATTTATCAAGAGGAGCAGTCCCATCGCTCTGAGCAGGAAAGAATGAAGACAGAAATCTCTGACCTGACAGAAGAGCTTCACCAGAAGGACATCACTATAGCAACTATCTTGGAGAAAGCTAGTCTTCTGGAAAGACAGTTAAAAATGGAGTTAGAGATAAAAGACAGATTGTTAGCAAAACAACAGGTAGGCAAGCAGGCAAAACCAGCCTGGATCATCTTACCCCACACTATTGATAATGACATACATTATCTGTGAAAAAAGACATCACATTTCTTGCTGTAGTTTTCATCAGCAGGGCTGTAATATCTGTGAAGCACTACTGAGGCAGCCAAATTGCTACTGCAACAAGAAAGCACCTGTAAACGTCAACTGTACATCTAAATTGCAATTCATTCTGACTATCAGTTGTAGTTATCATTCTAACATGTAAAAGATCTTGAAAACTTCCAATTATTTTTTTATTATATGTACTTTATCAGAACCATTTAGTAGGTTATCTAGAACCTTTCCTAATTTTTCAGATTTGTTTGAAGCCTCTTGAAGAATGTTTCAAATCTGCTTCCTGTAATTTTAAAGCTGAAAACTGTAAGATCACAGTGTTTAAATGGCAAATTTCAGTTTTAAGAACAAATATGTTATCTTCATTCCTTAGATTTGTAAACCAAAAGAACCCTCATATTTAAATTTTTCTGGGTATCTCTGCATTTTGTGAGAGGGTCACTGCATATTGAAAATTGTCAGTACTGTAATATTTTACTTTTGATAACAGGAAAGCTAGTGCTTAGGAAAATAAGAGACTTCTGCTACATGGCATTGTTTTCCAGGCCAAATTCCCTATCATATCACTAAAATAGTGGATGTCAGCCCTAGGCTTCATGACTAGAATTTCATACAGTTTCAGTGTTCTGCAAAATCTGTCCTTCTTTGTGTCTTGTAACTGCATGTGAACTCCCTTATTTTTCTAAGTGATAATTTCATTCAGAAATGTAAATAACTTCAGAGGCATTGCATTTGTATTTCTTTTATAGATCATTTAAGACTTTCTTCTGCTTTAGTATTGCTGTATCTCAAAAAAAAAAAAAAGTTTCATAATTATTTATGTATATTTTCTACAGTTAAACTCAGTGTTATTTCATGTTAACAGCAATATTCCTGTATTTAACTAAGAATTTAATCTTTTCCTAGTTGTTGGATTTCCAATATCAAGTTATCAAATCAGAAAACATACATCTAAAAGAGACAGTGGAAAACCAGGAGTGTAAAAGTTGCATGGTAATTTTTTTTACATCTATGCAATATGTAGAACAGTTACTTAAATTGCTTGTAAATGAAGACTGAGATCATGGCAAATTTAGATACTTTTTGCATGCTTAAAAAAACCACAGTAATAAGGTGTGTGACATAATTAAACCAAGTGGCATTCACACACAGCCTGAAGATGGGTAAAGCTAGGAATAATTTTGACCTTAATTGCAGTAAACTAGGAGCAAGCTAAATTTTTCAGTACCTGTCTAGACACAGAACAGTTTCTGGGAGCCTATTTTTTGTTCTTGTCATCACTGATTTTATTCACGCAGATACAAAAATGTGTCCCTTTTTTACTGTTTTATCCCTTTGTTCATATGATATGTAAATAGTGTTTTAAAAAACTGACACATTTTGCTCCATCTTATTTTCAAAGTTTAGTATTTATTTCTCTCCCAGTGAGATATTTCAAGCTTAATTCATAAAAAGTGTGCCATAATCTAATGTAGAACCATAGTTTATATGGATATAATAAATATTTCATGTTCTGCCTTCCACAAAAACCTTCAAAACATCTGCAGTCACTGTATGTATCAGTAGAAAAAAACAACACTGGAATGTTGTTTGCAAATGCTGCTGCAAATATGTCTTTGGGGGATTTGTAGCCTGCTCATGGTCTGACTGTAAACTGACAAATGCATGAAAGAATGTCACATTTCCCCACACTCTTAAAATAGCATTTCTGTTGATCAGTGATGTGTTACCTATACATATTTACACAATGTTATGGGTATATGTTTGTGTATGTCTGATATATCTTTGTGGAAACATAGTTGGATGTGTGTGTGCATGTTTAGCTCTTCTCTGCAGTGATACTTTTCAGAAAGACTGAGAAGAGCTGTCTGACAGGAATCCTTGTAGATACCACCTTTGTTAAATTTTAACAGTACAATCAAGTTACTAGATATACCAAGGTCACTACACTTCTCAATGTGCTTGTGGACTTATTCCTACTTTCCTAGTGCATTGTGGGGATCTAAACATTAAAGGTCCTGAGGTATTTGATAATAAAATTGCAGAGACTGGAGAGATTGTTACAGATGTGTTTGTACAGGACAGCAGAGCATCACACAGACTCCTCAAACAGTGCCAGCCTAAGTCAGTATGGTGTAATGCATCATCAGGCAGGGGCACTTGTTTGGATTCCAAAAGCAATGTACCTGTGCTAGCTCAGTTTTGGGGCTCATGCTTGTGTAACTGTACTGCTGATTCTGGAGCTGTTCATGGTAGGGTGACTGCGCTCTTATTCTTCCCCTATTCTGCCACTCTCTCCACTTAGAAGACACTTAGCTGAGCCCTTGCCTGCCTCCTTGCACAAAATCTTAGATTTTCTTACACTTTCTGGCACTTCCATGCCAGCCTGGCTCTTAAGTTTCCCCTATAACTATCTAAGCAGGGCAAGGTCTACAGGAAGAGATGACATTACACCAGTTAGTGCAAGGAACAGACAAAACTTTCAGGCGCAGGAACCCAGTTGTGCTAGCACGACACTAAGACCCAAATACTTCATGCTTAGGAGATACTGGGTTCCAAAGAAATAAAATAAATCTAGAAATACATAAAAGCACAACTTATGTATGGGGTTTTAGCCTTTTGTGTGTAATCTGATACATCTTTTGAGAACTGATGGCAGAATACTGGTACTGCCAATACATTTACACAGTGCAATGCAATATTCTGCAGAGGTCATTCCCAATTAGCTAGCTCAGGTGTGTAGGATAGGCTTCATGGAACAAGTGATAGGGCACAAAAGGAATGGGGTATACTGGCTAGCCAACTTCCAGAGCTAATTTTCATCTTCCTCTCTTGATATCCTAGTGGATGGACCCCTTCAGCCCCTGTCTGCAGTGCATGTGCTGGTCATATATTCAGTATTTCCACTTGTCTGTCGAGCAGGCTGACCCAGCTGGGGAGCAGGGTTTAGTGACACACGCAGGGAGCACTGTGCTAGTGTGGCCTTCCTGCTTCTGAGGCTGAAGGTGACTGTGTCTCGACATAGATATTAACTTGTGCCTCCAGGCTTACCCTGTGTCTAGTACAATAATGAACTTCTGTAATTTCTCCTGTTATGTTTGGTGGAACTGTGACTGGAAGGAGCAGTACAGTCTGCAGCTTCAGCTGTGATGGTTGCTTTTATGTCATAGGTTTTACAAAGCAAGAGATGAATTTACAACAATAATCTTTTGAATGCATATTTGTTGAGAAATTTTAATTTCTTTTATTGTGTTATAGAGGCTGTTATCTCTTCTTTTCCATTTATCTACAATGTGTCTTTTTCTGGGGGCAATTCTCTTGGTGTGCTATAAGTGCTGCATAATTATATAAGGTAGTTAGGTCTGTCTTTAGCATGGAATATTGTTTTGTGTTTGCTTGTTAAAAACACTTCCATTCATTCTGGAAAAAAACAACTATTTAATGATGGGTTTATTTCCTTTCACAGATTATAGATTTCTCTAACAAAGAGCATGGAAATTTCAGCACTTCCATTCACAAACTTAAGCATGAGAATGTAAGATCACAAAATAGTCTTGTTGAACTACAAAATGACACAGAAACATCAACACTGGCTCTCATGGATACACATGGAGAAACAGACCACAACTTCCAAACTTGTTTGAAGACGCAAGAAAAAGCAGAGAGGTATGTTTAGAATGGGCACATATATAAAGCTTACTTAAAATGTTTTGGAAGCATCTAACTGTGCCAAGCTGTTAATTTATTTTTTTTTTCTCTTTCTGTGAATTCAGAACTCTCACCAACATAATTATCAGTTAATATGTTTGTAAGGATTTCCTATATTTTTCTGGGTGGCCAGCTGAATGTAGCAATAAAAGAAGTCCCAGAAATGTTTGATCATTACTTTAATATTTGTCACATGAAACAACTTCAAAAACTTCTTATGTGTTGCTTAAATTATTCTTAGTTCCAGGTTTTGCAAAACACGACAGAATGTATTTTTATTGCCAAATAAAAACAAGACAAGGAAAAGATGTAAAAAACAACATGAGAGGTAAACTGCATCACAGGAGGTTATCTTAATAAGCAGTTTGAATTACAACCCCTGCTGAAAAGCTTTGTGTCCTGCCAGTTTCATTTGTTGGAAATTTCATTAAATGTATTTTAATGCCTTGTCTAGTTTTGTTGTTCTCGGGTGACCTGATTTTTAAAAAAAACCATAATTTCAGATGCCCCAAATAAATAATTACTACAATCATTTTTCCCTTGTGAGGGAAAAATAGTGAGACTTAAGAATACTCAGACTCGTAGAAAACAGTGATTACTTCCTTCTTAATTTCTTGTATCCAGTGAAGCACTGAATTAACTTCAAACGTTATAATCATGGTGTTGCAGTAATAAAAAGAAAATTAAACTTCTGGCTAAACAGTATTTCACAGTACAAGAGTGTAAACATTAATAGGAAGCTAAATACTTTGATCATTTTAAATAAAGAACTTACATGGTAGCACTAACATAAAACATTCTGTAAAGCAACGTTTAAATAACTGAAGCCAAAATTTTACAGGTTGATTTCAAACTCATACATTCAGCTTTTGGCAAAGTTTAATGTGATTTTCTTTCTGCAAAATGGAGGCACCCTGTTCTATGGAGTTACATTCTTACTTAAAATGGCCTTTTAAAGATGTTTAGCGCTGGGGATTGTAGTTGTGTATGGAAATACACAGACATGTATGTGCCTGTGTGTGCCCACAGCCCAGAGGGGCAGTCCCATCCTGGGCTGCATCAAAAGCAGCATGGCCAGCAGGTCAAGGGAAGGGATTCTGCCCTTCTACTCTCATGTGACCCCACCTGGAGCACTGTGTCCTGCTCTGGAGCCCCCAACACAAGAGGAACATGGAGTTGTTGGAACCAGTCCAGGGAAGGGCCACAAAGCGGATCCAAGGGCTGGAGCACCTCTCCTGTGAAAATAGGCTGAGAGAGTTGGGGCTGTTCAGCCTGGAGAGAAGGCTCCAGGGAGACCTCATAGCACCTTCCATGGCCTGAAGGGGCTACAGGAAAGCTGGGGAGGGGTTGTTCACAAGGGTGTGTAGTGACAGGACAAAGGGTAATGGCCTTAAACTAGAGCAGGGTGGATTTAGATTAGACATGAGGAAGAAGTGCTTTACAGTGGGGGTGATGAAGCACTGGAACAGGCTGCCTAGAGAGCTGCTGGAGGCCCCATCCCTGGCAACATTCAAGGTCAGGCTTGACCGGGCTCTGAGCAACTTGATCACGTCAAAAAGGTCCCTGTGCACTGCAGGGGAGGCTGGACCAGATGACCTGTAAAGGTCCCTTCCAACCGAAGACGTTCTATGATTCTATATGATAATGCATATACCTAATACACACACCTTTATGTATGGAAGTGGCACGTATATGTGTTTTCCTACTAAGTTTCAACTTATGTTGAAGGTTTTGCTGAAACAAATATTTACAAGCTAAGATACAGTCTGTTCTGCACCTGTAGGTCTCATAATTTTACCAGAAACTGGTCAGCACAATTTTTGCTCATGCTTCCAATCTTCATAAATGAGAAAAACTAAGAATATTTTCCCATCCTCTAAGGAATTGCATTGTTGAGGAAATAGGAACTTTCATTTATGAGAATTCAAGTGTAAGCACTAATAGAACTATGCATATAATGTGCAGGCTTTTTATTTCATAGCCATTGAAGACCAATGTTAAACCAAAACCAGGAGAGAGAAACCTGGGAGAGCTGACCTTCCTTGCAACACAAATCTCAACCACACTACTGACCATAATTTAAGGTTTTATTCTAATTAAGCTGATGAAACAGGTATATTGAGTCTGGTTTCTAGGATGGAGGAAATGCATTTTATTTCCAAAATGAAAAGCTACTTATCTAAATAAATGCATACACAGATTTCAAAAAATATGCACATTACACGTGTTGTAGATGCACATCAGTCATTCAGTCTTTCTAAGATGAGGCCCCCTCCATACCCTCAGTCTTCTGACCCCCCTTGAGGGGAACTAGCTCAAGATTTTATCAGGAAACTAAAATTACATTTTCAACCATCAAATGCGTGTAGAAAAACCAGGCAAATGATGTTGGTTGAGTAAAAATCTGGGCTATGTTTTATTTTATTACAAGCAGAAACGATGTTATTTAGGTTTTAATTTGCAGTTCTGTTTCCATGGTAATTATGGCACTGGAGAAAGGGCACAAACCTTTTTTCACATAGTAAAAAATTAGAAAACGTGGTGTTTGTGCAAGGAGGGGCTGTGTGTTTTAAATAGCAATGTTCAGAAGCTGCACTCGGTGGTTCTCCTATTTGCATTCAGAAACCTTGAAATGGTTGCACAAAGAAAAAAATGTAAAAGTCTTCAACCAAGTCTTTTCTATAATATTTTTCAGTCATGTTTCACAATCGGCCCCAGAATCCCAGACACAGACACAGTCCTTAGTTAGACAAGAGACCTCTAGAGAAAATACCGGAAATTGCAGGAAGTTTCACTGGAGATGGAGAGGCACGATTCCTTCTTTCTTTCAGGGTACAGTGAATTTCTCAATATTGCAAAGTGAGATACACAGGAGTGGCATCTTTTTTCCTAAAAAAAAAAAAAGACTGTGGCCAAATCCTATGTATAACCACTTTAATTAATTATTCTTCTCCTATAGGATAATTTTCTTACTTCTAATATCCATTTGCAGAGGAGTTTCCCACCCTCACAATTTCAATCCCTTATTTAGATGTTGATTTAAATTTTGGCATGGTTGACAAGGGCTTTCTCTGCTGAAGCTGATGTGTTTAGCCTGATTCTTCCAAAATGAAAACTTGCATGTGAGTTCCCAAATGCAGAGCTACTTATTTAATATAAAATATACACAAATCAAGCCAAAGTGCACTTTGATCGTGTCAGAAGTGAGGGGGGTAAAGGCTGGGGCTGAATGTCTGCTGGGATAGCTGGGGATCTCATAATGGGTCCGTGTTGACAGTGGCATAAGGAAGTTTTCACTGCCCTTTGGATATCACACACAGTGTCACGCTCACGACTGGGTCAGTGAGAACAACAGATCAACTGGAAGCAGTCAAAACAGTCTCTTCAGAAAAATACTTCTTAACCATTTTTTAAATCAAGCTGGCAGTTGCACTTGCAAGGCAAAGGCAGCAACACGAATTCTGAAGATACTCAGGTCATTAAAGACCTGTTGTTTTCTTTCTCAAGACTAGGATATGTCAACCAGGACAGGCCTGTAAGGAATTTGTCTTGCACCACTGAAGTCATTGATCTCATAGGGACCAGGCTGATTTTATATATGAGTCTGGAAAAATCTATTCTGTCTGTATAAATTCCCTTTGCAAGGACATTGTTCTTCACTTCTTGTCCCATACGTCGCCATGTCAACAGTGATATTATTTTTGTGAAGTGTGTGTAGATGTTAAATACTCTATGACAGTAAACCCACGGAAAGTGTAAGTTACTGAACTGCAGTTTCTGTGTATTTCCATTGCCAGTGCTAACAAATGCCATTTTTAAACTAATTTGCATATATTTGCCTACCTTTATATTTGTATTGAAACAAGAACTCTGTTCTTTGATATTATTTTGTGCTGAACTGGCAGAAATTTAATCTCCAACTGTGAAATGTGTCTGAAGAGAAGGCATGGTATTCATATCAAAGTACCTAAATGTAGGTGTCATGTTTTCCAAGACAGCAAACAGTCCCAGAACTCCTATGGATTACAGTAGGAAGTGGAGTTCCTTTAAAAAAACAGTCCTTTTTTTTTGTGTGGGGGTGTCTTTCTAAAAAGCTACCATAACTGCAAGCACCCACATCTGAACATTCTGGTCTTAGTCAAGTAAGGTATAACCTAACAGTAATAACTGTTATTAAATGCATAGAGAAGCAGTTCTAGGGGGAAAAAAGAACACAGATCACACAGACTTTACTGTGGGTTTACAGAGGAAATTACTTCCAAAAAGGTCAGAACAGAAGATGAAAAAAAGAACAACCTTGTGATTTTATTATTCATGCCATCTGTCTTCAGCCAGGGCTGGTTTTTTCACTGTCCAAACAATAGATGGAATGGACTTTAAATTGGGATGGGGGGGAAAGGGGGGAATAAGAAAAAGAGTGTTCTGTGCCCAAAGAGTAGAGTGTATTTATATAAAGAAAAGCATGAAAGAAAGGAGAAAGCTATGCCCTTAAAAAGGTAAACATCTTGGGTGATTCTGAAAACTGGAAGGTTTGATGAATATTCTCAGAGAGTTTTATGTTAGAATTCTAATAATACTGTAGTAATGATAATATGATAGCCTCGTGTTTATAATTTGTTTTACTGTTGCATTCAGAGTATCTTAATCACTACGTCTATAACAAAAATATATTCTTTGCTAGTTCTCTTAGTTATTCTGCACAGTCCATTCATGGAGTGCTCAGTTTCATGTGTCAGGGCTTATGTACAAGCAGGGTCCATTAAGACTGCACAGCCACTCTCTTCCAACACCAGATATTTAAATTAACATTAGAAAATTATGTCTGCAGAAAACTGTCCTTTCCTTCTGCTTGGCAAATTCTTACTATGTCTGAAAATAAACAAACAAACAAATAAATAAATAAATAAAAGAATCAGTTTTCCTTGGATCTGACTATACTATAACATTATTTATAATAATTATATTTTAGTGGTATAAAACTTGACCTTAAAATCTTATATAGCTGCAGTTCAAATTAGTAAAGTGTTTTAGGATATTTGCAATGAGCTCTCATGTTTAAGTATAGTAGTTACCTCCAAAGACTAAAATTTCAATTTTACCAAGACCACAGACCTCAGTACAATGAAAATATTTACCTCATACATATTGTTACAGAAACTTAACTAAATCTGAAATAATTCAATTTTTTTTATATGCCTTGGTATATAATACAGGTAAAAATGCAACTGAAAATTAGTCTAATTCAACAGACATCTGGGCAAGCCAGTCTCCAAATCCTCTGCTCTTATCAATGTGGTTTCAGAATTGTTCATTTAACTGTCAAGAAAAGAAGGTATTTTGTATGGGAAGAAATAGCTATCTGGGGGGTTTTTGAGTGCTATTAACCATAATAGTTTTTGCTTCACAGAACTACAAATGAATACAAAAATACGCTTTCACATCCATTCTGAGCACTGCAAGTGGGGTACAAGAGTTAGGGAATATCATAATCAAATATTTGAAAATTCTTCTGTTAGTGTCAAGGTTTAATTTCTTGTTACACAAACATGTTCCTGTACAATTTTTTTTTAAGTGTATTTTTAAAATGCAGGATCAAAGATTCCTGTACTGTTTTTAAAATTAACTTATTTAAGCATTTATTCTAAATTCTAGGTCTTTGAACATAATTGTTGAAGGTGATGGAAGATCAAAATTGACTGATTATCTGACCACTAATGATACTTTTTCTTTCCAATCTCACATACACTTTCATATTTCATTCTCTCTGTGGGGCTAAATTCACTCCAGTTCCCATCATACTGTAAGCTAAGTTATCAGATCTGAAGAGAGCTTACAGAGCTGCTTCCACTGAAAAGCTGAAGAGTTTATAATCTGTGGCAAAGGATTGGTACCAAATACTTGCAGAATGTTGGTATTGTCTATACCTAGGGTGAGTTTGTGTTTTAGCTCCTGTGCTGCCACAATTATATGACAAGGTTACTCAAGCTCCAGCAAAGGGGTTTAAATTGGTGTGATTTTAAATCCCCGCTAGAGCAGAGAATGCACACTCAGACAGTTATGGTAACTGAGGTGGAAAATTGCTAGATTGCTGCAACTTCACAGAATCATAGAATGCCAGGTTAGAAGGGGCCTCAAGGATCCTCTGGTCCAACCTTTCTAGGTACTGCTATAGTTTATATGAGATGGATCACCACCCTGTCAAGCTGAGACTTCAAAGTGTCCAGTGTGGGGAAATCTACCACTTGGGAGACAATTCCAATGTTTGATTTTCCTCATGAGGAAAAATTTACCTCTTGTGTTCAATCAGAATTTCCCCAGGAGCAACTTGTGCCCATTACCCCTTGTCTTTTCCATGTGACTCCTTGTAAAGAGGGAGTCTCCATCTCCTTGGTAGCCACCCTTTAAGTACCACGGTTAAGTAACACGGTAATAAGGTCTCCCCAAAGTCTTCTTTTCTCCAGGCTGAACAAACCCAGTTTTCTCAGCCTCTCCTCATTTGGCAGGTCCTTCAGATCTTCTGATCATCCTTGTTGCCCTTCTCTGGATCCTCCCCAGCCTGTCCCATCCTTTTTGTAGAGCAGGGACCAAAACTGAACACAATGCTCCTGGTGTGGTCTGACAGGTGCTGAGTAGAGTGGGATGATGACTTCTTATCTCTGCTGGTGATGCCCTGTTGATGCAGCCCAGCATCCTGTTGGCTTTCTTTGCTGCTGCAGCAGTGTTCAATCCTGTTGAGCTTGTTACCCACCAAGACCCCCAGGTCCCTTTCCACAGGGCTGCTCTCCAGCCAGGTGGATTCCAGTCTGAAACTTAGCAATGGATAATCTTATGCCCATAACTTGCTGTACAAATAAATAAAATAAAATTAATAATAATTTTTTTAAAAAAAATCTTGGCTTCTCTGTGATAGCTTAGAGTTTTCGTTCTTTTTCATACTTTGATTTTTTTTTTTTTCTCTTTTAGAACTTTCCAAAAGAAAGACGCATGGGAAATGGAACAACAACAGACTGCTGTACTCACAGCCAGTGGATACCACAGGAACTGTTGTCCTGCTTCATATGGCCAAGGAAGCATTGCTGGTTCAAAAAGTGATAGCACTTCATCTTCTTATACACTGGACAGAGGGCATGAAACAAAACCAGATGATAAATCTCCATCACCAGCAGGGAATCCTCTGGGCTTTGGTGGACTCTTCCCTGAAAAGGACACAATAGGCAGCTTGCTGAGCCCTGCTTACAATGCAGAAGAAATCCAATTATCTGTAAGTAACTATTTTCCTATAACACATATATTCCCAAAGATCCATCTGTGGACCAAATGCAGCCCTGGAGGAGGCAAAAATTGGATCACTTTGGTTGTCATTATTATTTATACAGTGCCAGCTCAGCAAAAATGGAAATACCTTATCCTAACATCAATGCAATTTTTTCTGGAGATGAAACACCCCCTACTGGGCCATCCCTCTGTGCTAATAATGATGATGATAATTACATGTTGTGATGTGACTGTGAAAGAGATTCCTACATTCTAGCTCATTGCCTTCTGTGTTTGGGCCCTCTGCTTCCTGTTGTCTTCTGTAAGGGCGCTTGGCTTTAGGTGTGTCTCCATCATGCCTGCAAATTTGCTGCCTTCAGAGCTGTTAGACAAATCAAACTTACCCAGTACTCAATTGATGGATGAAATTGCTGCAACTATTTTCGGGGTGTTAGCTGTTGCATTTGAAAAGGAGCAGGAATTATAACTTCTGTAATCCTTATTTTTAAAAAAAGAAGCAGTAAAAGAAAGAAACATTCTTTCTTTCAGTCTTATTAGACTAGAGATTACCAACCTCCATGACAAGTGGGATAAATCCCACTTTGCCTGGGGCAACTTCTTAGGAAAAACTTCCCATAATTCTTTGACTTAATGTCTTTCTTTAAATGTGAGTTTTATCCTGTTCCTTAGTATCTTCTGTTCTATCTTAGGCCTCCACTACAGGCCACTAGTTTTTTCTGCTTGAAAATGTAGCACTTCTTTTCCAGACCTCAGCCACACCATCCTTAAATAATAGAACTAACAGATCAGTAAGGAATGGAGTGTAGTTCTCTCTTTGTCCAGCTGTGATACGTGCATCTTGGTACCCAGGAGACCCTGAGCTGCAGGTGTGTGGCTGAGACTCTAAAGAGAGAAGAGGGAAGACCTCAGCATTTACTGGGGAGAACCAGTAGGCAATTTTCTTGCCACTCATCACCTTAAGTAGGAGAGAAGAGAATGAGACCAACAGTCATCTTCAAGCAGTTTGTGATTGTTGTACCCTGGTTCTGCTGTCCTCTTCAGAAATGGATGCACATCCTTTCCTATTGGAGAAGTAGCTGCTGGAAGACTGTCTTCATTGTCCAGAATCTCACTGTAGACAGGCAGCACCACACGGATTGCCTGGGAAGCAGGAGTTGCAGTGCAGCCCTTCCCTGAACATGGTCCAGCAGCTGTGTTCTAGCAGTCAGAAAACAGGGAGAGAACCACATTGTCCAAGGTGTTTGACCTCAGTTCCATTTTTCTATTCTTATACTTCACAAGAATTTTAAGTAAATGGCTGTTGGTTCCTCCTGGCTAGGGAGTCTTCCTCTTTAAACTGCTAATTATAAAAAGAAGGCTTTGGACTTTATTCAGGAAAGTCTGATAAACACCAGTTCTCCTCCTTTCTTCTGTCAGAAGTGTCAGACTGAGACATCAGACCACAAAGCTCCTGTTTGCAACCAGCCCATGGAAAATGTCCATTCTGAGACACTTTTGCAGGCTGCAGGGAAACCTATTTCCCAGCTGGCACTCAGGACAGTCAATGCCAAGACAGTTGACAAGATTATAAGGAAAACACTTTGCAGCTCGTGTGTGGGCAAAGTACATAATGAAACTATTAAACAGTGGATAATTCCTGTATAGTGTCTAAGTCCAAATCAGTGTCATTGAAGCAAGTACAAGTTCAGAAGATCACCAGAATTAAATAATCACTCAGACTGACATTGGATACTACAGCTTTCAAGAGTCTGTTGCTCTAGAGCTCAGGGTTCAAATGGAAAGCAATTGCATCAAGGAGAGAGAGGGGGAAATAACCAACAAAAAAATCACAAAACATAAAATATATTGGAAACCAGAGTTCTTTGACCAAGTTTTCAGGACTGATGTTTCACCCAAGTGAAATCTCCAGAATGTTCAAAACTTTTGAAGCTGTTATAACTGACCATTTTTTCTGAAGAATATTTGTAGCACCAATTGTAAACATCATAACTGCAGGTGATAACTACTGAAATCACTCCTTTGGCATTTAGGGAAGAGATAAAATAAATAGTCTCTAGGGCTTTAGACAAAGACTTACCTGTCCTCCCAGTAGTCTTCAGACAAACTTAGTTTATGTTCCACTGAAGCTTATGTCCTTTCACGTTCCTACTTAGAGGTTACATGTGTGAAGAAAGTCACCTTTGCCTTACAGTAAGCTAGGTAGCTCAATAGAGATTCACTGGAAATTCCCAAAACCCCAAAAATTCTTGTTTCAAGGCTTTCCAAGCTTAGAGAAATTTTGTTTCTCTGAACAGTGCTTTGAAGCATACTCTTTTTCTGAAATGAACCACTTCAGGAATCACAGAATGGTTTGGGTTGGAAAGGACATTAAAGATCAAGTTCCAACCCCCCTGCATGGGCAGGGACACCTTCCACTAGACCAGCTTGCTCAAAGCCCCATCCAGTCTGGCCTTGAACACTTGCAGGGAGGCGGCATCCACAGCTTCTCTGGACAACCTGTGCCAGTGTCTCACCACCTTCACAGGAGAGAATTTCTTCCCAATATCTCATCTAAATCTCCCTGTTTCAATTTGAAACTGTTCCCTCTCATCACCACAAGTCCTTGTAAAAAGTCCCTCCCCAGCTTTCCTGTGGTCTCTCCAGGTACTGGAAGGTGCTCTAGGGCCCCCCCAGAGTCTTCTCCAGGTGGAACAGCCCCAACTTTCTCAGCCTGTCTTCATAGCAGAGGTGCTCCAGCCCTCGGATCATTTCTGTGGCCCTTCTCTGGACTTGCTCCAGGAGTTCCATGTCCATGTGCTGGGGGCTCCAGAACTGGACACAGTACTCCAGGTGGTGGAAATAGTTGCCTGATCCATTCCCAGTCTCTGGGAAGACTACTCCATAGAACAGTCCAATATCCAGCTTCAAGTTTAATCTTTCCTATAGAAAATAGATAGATAGGTAGATCATAGATAGATAGATAGATAGATAGATAGATAGATAGATAGATAGATAGATAGATAGGACAGGCAATAAGATTATTTGCCACTTCAGAATAGTCCATTTCTACACAATTCCTCTCTGTCAGCTGGAGCAACCAGTTATCTGCCTTGTGCTTCACAATCTTGATCTTTTAACTTGTACTCGCAAATAGCTTCTCAGGTTTCTCTTCACATGATGGACAGACATTGCCTCTCTTTGCTTTCAAGACTTGCAAAGAAAAGAAAAATTGAAGATGTAGCAAAGAAAATGTAAACTAAGGATCGGGAAACTTTCTAACTCTAAGGATGGGAAAATGTTTAATAAGTAGATTGCAATGGAAAGTTGTGGAAATTCTAGCACTGTCCATTACTAGGAATCATTTTGACAGTCTTGAGCCTGCCCTGAGGCATGCTCTGGTCCCTGCCTCTCACTCTAAGGTATTACTGTTACCTGGCTGGTTTGGGACTTAAGTCTTCTAAAAGCTTTCCTGTATGGCTTAGCAACTTCCTGGGCATCTCATTTTTTATTTTCATGCATGAGCAGAAGCAAGCTGAAGACAGGCACCAGTACCTGCTGTCTAACTACCTACAACAAGTTAGGTTGAAAGCTGAAAGCTTACCAATGAACCCATTTCTATCCAGCTCCAGTTAGAAAACTGAAAGACATAAAGGAAGTGCTATCTGAGGAAAAGAAGCTCAAAAAAACTAGGGAAAATGAGTCTCAGGTGAGACATTGATTAAAGCAGCTTCTTTATCGTTTTTCTTCCTCAGGCACTGCAAGTAAAGACAATAAAGGACATAGTGAAAGAAGAGATCAGAGGCTTGCAAAGCAAAGCTTAGTTGCTAAAAAGAAGTGTTGCTTTTTAGACGTGTTTAGATACAACCTTCTCACAAAGTGCATAGAACACAGTGCATTAGGGACCTATCTAAAATGATAGTGATGTCTGACCCTCAGGCAAGGAGCTGTAGGGAACCATGATCTGCTTACTTTAAGTGATCAACAATCTTCTCTGAACTCAGAGGGAATTCAGAAATGTCTCATTTGGAGTTCACAGTGTATTTCAAGGAAAACACATCCAAGTAAGTACCAGTTGAAGCAAGGACACTAGCATGCTAGGAAGATAGCTTGATCATGGGGCCAGTTTGTTTATAATGACCAGGCAGCAATTGTAAACGTTGTTAAAATTAATCTCTTTGAATGTCTCGTAACTTATTTCTGAAGACTAGTGCTCCTGTAAAACTGCTGTCCATATGGAAAAGCCCAACATGACTTTCTGTTTGTCTAGGTGATGACACCTGTTAAATTCAGATTTCAGATTCACATTTTCCCATTTATTACCCTTCTCACTGGAAGTATTTTATTTGCTGAGTATTGAATCAGTGAATTCAGAGCTGGCATTCAGTAAAAAAAACACATGGTGATTCTGGGGGTAAAGCCTCCAGATCCAGTGTCTTCTTCATAATGCAAAAGCAGCCTTCCAATGCTTCAAACCAGTACTGCCAACTCTATCATTGAATCCAAATGCCACAAGGAGATTCATTGGTGACCTAGTCCATGAAGGAATGATTGTGCATGTAGCCATGGCATTCAAAATCTCAGGAACACAGTGGGAAAACAATGATGATTCAGGGGTGGGACATCATGCATGTATTTGTGAGGAAAACCAGGCAGGTGATCTCCCTCCAGAGTTTCTCAAACATTGGAAGATTAAGATTGTTTCTTATCCCTGCTATTGCAGGGACTGATAAAAGTATTGTGGCACAACATGACCCAGTATCTTTGGGTTCCTCATTCCCACATGGCAAATTAAGTCACTTTTTCTTCCCTGCCCTGTTAAAACACTAACTTGGTGGGACTGAGAAAAGGAAGATTCTGCTTTATCTGTGAATTTCATTTTAGGAGCCCCGTGTGTCACAGAGCCTGAGAAAGCCTGTCTCCCTCTAGAAGAATGGTATTTTATTCAGAATTTATTTCCAGCTGTCGCTTACTTGATGTGCTTTGAAAAGAAAAGGGGTTTCCTACAGGAAATCTCTAATCTTGAGATGAAATCTCAATGTCTACTACAAAGAATTTGAATAGAATAGGGCTTTAAAGCACTTCCCTAGTTAGTATCTTTTGGCTCAAGAACCTGCTAAAGGGCAGTTTGAACCAGGCTGAAAGCAAAGACCAAATCTGCCTCCAGTTGCTGTGAAAATAGGGAAAACCCCATTCTGATAGAGCTTAGAATAAATATGTACAGGTGGAATAAAATTGGCCTTATGCACAAAACATTTGAATATTAAGATAATTTGAAGGCATTCCTAATTGATGTGCTGAGAGAGAAACTCCTTTTTACATCCTAGGAAAAACAAAACCAGACATTCTATACTAATAACTCTATCAGTTATTTAAAGTATGCAATAGATTATTTAATTATAGCTAATAAATATCAATCACCTTTCTCAGTATGTGATAATATAAAGACATACAATTATCTTTCTCTTACTCAGGATTACAGCTCCTATACTGTTTTTCTCAGTCAACTGTTAAAAATATACACATCATAAAAATGAATTTATCAATACAAATAAATATTGAATTAAATTTTATGTTTGTTTTAAGAATATCTTTAGGCTGAGAAAAATTATTTCATATTTATTTTGATAAAGGCATCCAAATTAATGCGTCTTAAGTATTAGCAAAAAGAATTAACAAAAACTCTTGCTTAAGAATTTAGACCTTGTTCCAGCAAAAACTCACTCATGTCCTTTGCTTTATACAACTCTGCATCCCATGACAACCATTTTGAGACTCATTTTAGTATGGCTTGTATCTCAGTCTGCTAAATGCTCATTAAATTGAAAGAAGATTCTTCAGTGAGCTACTTGCAGCAAATAAAATTTAGTACATTCTCAAGAATATCAGGGCTTGAAGTTGATAGGACTAAAATGAGCAAAGGTTTTCTTCCTTTTCCCAGAAAGCATCACATCACAGAAGCAGAGCTAAAATTACAGCAGGCAATCAGCAGTACCCAACACTAGTTATCTTCTGCAGTTCCAAACACCAGATGATTGTCCTCTGTCTTGGTCTGAATTGTACCAGTGATGATTTAGCTGATCCAAAGATTTTGGAGGTTCTGAAGCAGCCTAATTTTGCCTAATGGAATATTTACATTTTTAATGGCAAATCTACATCCTAATGCTGTAAATATCGCAGGTATTCAAAAATCATGTTCTCATTCTGTCATTTAGGCACCTGAATGCCTTTAAAAATGTAGACCCAAATTCATGTTTTCTTGGAGAGATAATGGAGTGTTATAGTGTTATTAGCTGCTATAGGCTGACATGGTTTTCAAACCTAAAGTTTGATAATGCAAACACATTCTAGTACTTGCTGTTTTTTACTAACTCTGATTTTCTCTTCATCTCTCAGCCTCCCCCTGAGTTGTCCTTCCTTGCAACCACAGAAAAGTTCCTTCAACAGGAAGAGAAACATACAAGAGAGTTTGAAGAACGTTTAAATTTACACATTGAAGAACTGCAAAGACATTCTGAAAATACTGTAAAAAACTATGCCAGGAGCCAGCAGTGCAGGCATACTTAAGCCAGTCACACAATTAAGAAAATAAAACCAAGTAAACACCCACGGTTGTCTTAGAACTAAAATCTGCAACTAGCTGTTCCATGTATTTAAGCATATTGCCAATAGCATACATTTTTAATACCAAGGATTGAAAAAGATAATCATTATCCTATGGATTTAGGTATATTGGAATTTGACTACATTATAAAATATCATACTCTAAAAATATTCTAAGATATACAGGTTAGTTTTGCACAGTTAAATTGTGGGCAGCAGTGACCCTGTCGCTGCAGGGTCAATGAAGAAAGATATCTTCAATTCTGTGATGGACAGAGGACTAATAAGTGGAATTTATTCCCTTGAAAATATAATCAGCCAAGAGAAATTCTCTAGATTGCACAGAACAAGAATAGTAGAGGCCTTCAGCCATGTCATTGCTCCTAGCATGAAGAGCTTATCTCTGCTTGGGTTATTCTTGGCCACAGAAACAGCCCCTGGGACTCCTGAGAGGAGAGGCTGGAGCTCTTTCTTGTGCTCTAAGCCATCCTGGCCCAAGAGAGGAACATGATGAGGCAAAGCACATGTTTTGAAGCCACCTGCATTGCCCCTTTCACCAGACAGAGCTTGATCTCAGGTGCTTTACACACCTGACTTTAATACTTGGCAATTTTTAAATCCTGTCTTCAAAAGCGCTGGTTTTGTTACTGATGTTTTGCTACTACTTTGTCTCCTTGTTTAACTGCGTTGGAATAGGGAAAAAACCTTTAACTTCAGATAGCTCTTTTGAGGTGAGGCACTAAACCCTTCGTATCTTTCTATAAAACACAACATGCAAAGCTGAGCAGAGTTAATTCAACTCCATATGCCAAAAAACTGCATAATATTGAGATCCCTTTTATTTGCAATTCATACTGAATTCTATTGCTGTGCAAGTGAAACAGAAATTACAGACAGTGTTGATGAACCACCAGTCTCAGTGAAAGAGACACTGAAGAAGTGCTTTCCAGAAAGTACTGTTGCCAACTTCCTGAAAAAATCTGGATAAAAATAATCCCAGACTGTCAAACAGCTCCAGTTTGTGAGTAAAAGGAGTCTCATTAATATTCAAGACCACAGCAAAAATGTAGATTGTTTTTGGAAGCTATATTTCCATTAAGACAAAATATACTACATCCCACTTACACAAAATACCAAGATTTTAAATACCAGTTTGGCTTGGTTTGCAATGAAATGAGTAATGAAAATGAGGACATCAAAGAACCTTTTACAGGAAAATTCAGGGAAATTACTAGACTCAGCTGGAGGAACGAGGACTGAATAAAAAGATGACAGAAGGACATCTGAACAAACTAAATATATATGTGTCCTCAATTTCAGGGAAGATGCATCTGGGAGTTTTAAAAGAAGAAATTTAGGAACCTCTGGAAATGAAGCTAAATTTTAAGCTGGGAAAGATCTGTAGAAGCAAAAGGCAGCAAAATGTTGTCTTTCAGAAGGGAAGGAGAAAAAAAAAATAAAAAAAATAGACTACTAGCCAGTTAACCAGATTCATTTGCCCACTGCAAGATTTAAACATGGAAGAAGGCAGATTATGTTCCAGATCTTCCAAGAAAAATGTGTCCAGTCCCAGCCTGAGGATCCCTCTGCTCATATAGGTCTGTGTGATGCTACAGAATGAATGAATGAAATTATCAAAAGAAGAGGAAGGTTTTTTTATAAAGCTTTTTAAGATCTGGCCAAGTGACTAACTTGGGCTAATGGAACAACAGAGTCAGTTTCAGCCTGGCTGGTGTGTAAGACCATTTAATAAACTTCCCGTGAAAAGCAAAGTGCCTGTATCTGAACAGCCTGTTTGTTTGCAGTTATTTCCTGCTCAGAACCTATTATGCCACAAATGTCCTGAGACAGAATGGACTAAAGTGCCATTTTTTTTAACACATACTTACCCAGAAGGTCACCCTTCTATTCACCAGCCAAACTGAGTAAAGTTCCTCATGCAACCATCACAGACATAAACAAGAGCCCGTTACTGCCAGGACCATCAGAGCCCCACTGCTGGTTCTGAGCACTTCACCTGTATGAAACGGTAGGAACTGGTGAGAGGTTTCTGAAGGAAATACGTTCCTTTTGTTATTGTGCCAAAAACAGCGTGTACAACATGTACCACATTTCAAGTTATTTGGCAAACTAAAAAGTTTTTAAAAGAGTGTTGGACAGCAGAAATAACAAAGACTGAGAAATTATATATACCTTATGAACAGGGATTGGAGATGGATATTGTCAAAAAAAGGAATAATCAGAAGGGTCCAAGGCTATGAGTGTCTGCAAGCAGCAATAAAAATGAAAAAAAGAAAATGAATTATTAATCCTAAATACATTTTACAGGACAAGGTGCCATTTTTGGGAGCTACGATCACCCAAAATATACAGAAAAATTCTGTTCTACCTTGTGAAGGGCCAGGCAATGGAAAATGCTTGTAAGCTGCTGGACCTCTTATGATTTTTCAAAGCTTTACCGAAAAGCTTGTTTTTTTGGCTCACAGTTGAAAGAACTGTTTTAAATAAAAAGAACAATGGTTCAGGCTGCCACCAGCTTTTTTCACTGAAGAAAAAATAGGGGTTGTGTGCACACAGTTGCCAACATGTTTCATTGAGATATAATTTTGAAATAGTTGGTGGTAAAAGAGCTGCCAGACCATTTCTTTCCAATTTGCTTCCCAGAACTTACTTGGATGAGGCTGTCAGTGAAACAACAGTGACTGAACAGAAACATTTAGAAGTGGCTCACATGAAAGTTGGGTGTTCAGTGAATTTTCTTTCTACCATTTTTTACAGTCTTCTTTTTTGTATGGGAAATTCAGGAGTATAAGAATGGGAGAGTGTCTCAGAGACAGCGGGTACTGTGAATACACAGAGGGACATGCAAACAGCAGCAGCACAACACGGTGCCAGACAAACACAGAAATGGACAAACTGAGAAATCTCAGGCACAGCTTTCTTGCTTTTTTGATGGGTCATCTTGAACAGTGGCTTTAGCTTACCCAGCCAAAGGCCAATCAATCTCTGCTGTGATCAGAGACCCCACAGACAGTGCCCAACCTGCAGTCTCACTGTTGGGGTTTAATCATAGTTTCACTGGTTAGAATTCCTGAGGTAACCATGGTGCACTGGCACACAGAATCGAGCCCATCACCACTTCGTAATTCAGAACTAGGCTGAACAGCCCTGGTGGGGATGAGAAAAGTCATCAACAGGCTGTCTAATGAGATCAGTCCCAGCTGATTTTACATCCATGGTGTGTCATGTTGTATTCACACACTGGGGTACCTGCACCCCACCCAGCCCTGCCCCCTCCTGCCTGTGGGTCTCCCAGAGACCAAACAGCTGGAAGGAGGGACAGGGCACTGGGGGAAGGTCCTTACCCTGTATCACCTGGATGACATTCCCATCTGGCTTTACAACCTAAACCAGCCAATTTTATCGTTTCACAATCACTTCTATTTTCCATTTGATTCCATGCAAAATAGCTGTCCACTAGATTTTACACCAACTGCCTTGGGCTGGGGAAGTTTTTTCTCTTCTCAGACACAGCAATCTGCTGAGGAATCAGTAGGTTAAAGATTGTCATGGTTTGAATTAGCTGAACCAATGTGGGACCTCTGTGTTGTTTTTTCCTCACTGTAGGGTTCAGATCTCAAAGTTCACTTTGTCTGAGTTACTATTTAATCACATGGACACTCTCAAATCCATAAATAGGCTGTAATTTTGTACTGCATTTAAATTTCCACTAGTGGATTGAGCAACACCCCTAGAGACTGATACACTGTGCTCCAGCCTCCCTTCCTAAACCAACAAACCCATTGGTTTGTCCCTCTCATCTACCCTTAACCAAACTGCCAGGGGCTTTGAAAGAAATTCACCAAGAATGGTTTTGCCCTTACAACCTCACAAGAACGTTTGTGTGCAAAGAACAGTCCTAAGCCATCCCAGCAGTGAACTTCCTGTGACAGAGGTAGGATTTACTTAATGTGAGGAGCCCTTGTGCAATCCCAGATGGAGATAGAAATCCCACACAAGTCCTGGTCCTTGGTACCCCACATTAAGCACCATAACAAGAATTTTATTTGTTGAAACAAGTGCAGAGAACAGCTCTGTCTGTGGGGATGATGAAGGCACTCGGCTGGGGTGCAGATGGCAGGAGTTGGCTTTGCTGGTGCATGGTGTGTGAACTGGCACTACCTGCCCTCATAAGAATCTTCTCCTGGTTAGAAACATTTCTGTCACACAGGTTCAAAAAAGCGCAGGCTCGTTCACACCTTCCAGAGCTACAGGAGTGTTCAGAGCTGTACACGTGCCATCTGGGCATCCAACAGAAATCTGAAGCACTGTGCCTTCTCTCTGCTGCGTGTGCCATTTTCCGAACATCAGGGTGGGAATAAGTAAACGTTTCCTTGTAGAGGGACTAAAACAGAAGACCAAGAGCCAGCTCTCTGAGTTGTGGAAATCTGTGTAGTGCTCCCTTCAGACCCCAGAGGTGTTGCTGGTTTCTCTCCCTTGGGGAGTGGGGGGCAGGTGTAACAAAGACGGGCATTGACCCAGTGCGGTACTTGACACGATGCCTTTATTTTCTTAGCACATCAAAGACATTTATGAAACCCCATTCAAACCTTGATCTCTTAAGTATTTGACTCAGATTTGATTTATGCTTTGAAAAACTGTTTTTTAAAAAAATTGCTTCTATAACTTGATTTATCAGAAGGCACTGGCAGGTTTTTTATGGCTTCACCTGATAATGAGCACTCTTAGAAATCATAAGATGCTGCTGAAGAAGTATCTCCACCTGAGTTTTCTGGTAAAAAGCTTGTAATAAGTCATTCAGTTTTGCCCACAAGCCACTGTATGCTGGGAAAAGGTTTGAGACCCTTTTTCTAAAGCATTTTTGAAGGCAACTGACACTTGGAGTAACACACACAGTTAGAACACCAGAGACACAGTTACACCTTCAGCTGAGAAGTACACAGGAGCTGACATTTGGGCAACTGCCATTAATTTACTCCCCGATTACTCCCAGTGATTGTTGACAGGTCCTGTCTACAGAGGATTCATACCATTTTCCAAATGCACATTCCTACATCCGATACTAGTAAAAGGGAATTTGGAAAATGTCAGAATCCAGCTTCATTGTTTAGTAGTAGTATTTTATTTTTTTTTAAGATTCAAACTGTGAAATAAATTGTAGCTTCTGCATAAACAACAGTTCAGGATGTGTGACACTATTTTCCTCTCAAGTAGTACTCAGAAAATAGCACATTTCAGAGAACTGGAATACACAATGTCTCTTATTAGCATTAAGAGAGAGTCTCCAAAGAGATTTTTATGGTGACCTGAAGAATTTGCTGATGACAAGAGACAAAGGGAGGGCATAAGAAAAAAGCAGTAGAAATTAAACATCTCATTAGAAAAATAATCTTAATTATTATCTAACCCAACTGACCTTTTACCAATTTAGTTATCAGCCAGTTAATTGCTCTTACATGTCACAGACCCAACTCTTGCAGAAAATGAAGGGTGAAAAAAATCATGTAATGACTCTGAACAGTTTCAGAGGCTTTCCAAATTACAGAGATACTGCTCAGGCTGATAAAAAAGCCCTGCAGGTGGAACAGACTGAAATAAACCTGCTACTTGGAGAAGGGAGAGACACAGGGACTTTGTTAGAGCTGTCAGAAAGTGCCATGGAACCAGCAGGGAGAGGAAAACCTTGGTTAAGAATCTATGGAAGAGGAAGATGAGGAAGATAAATCTTCCTCTCCTCTTATGGGAGAGGTTAGCAGGAAGTTTGCTTCTAATCTACACACGATGGCAAGTACCCCACAGAATACCCATATTTAAACTACACACACTTCCTCAGGCACAAATTTGATTCAAGCTGGGCACCTCTTCTGAAAAATGGGCAAACAATCAGAGCTCCATGGCAGCCATCCCTGACTGCAGATAACATAAGAACAGGGCAAGAAGGATTCGGTGCCTGGGAGAACAGAAACAGCTGGAAGACAACACCGACTAAGCAATGACTTTTACAGACTCCTGGTTTCAGATCTCTCCAGCTGAAGGCAGCAGTTCCCTCTACCAAAGCACTGGTAATTCCCAGTCTCATCACATGTCTCAGTGAGCATAGGGGTCCCACAGCTGCCTTCCTGCTGGACACATGGGGGTGAACACACTGCTGGGCATCCCACGGTGACCATCTCTGTGTGGTTTGTTGTACATATATCCCAACCCTTCCTTTTAGTTCTTAGCAAACCTTCTGTTTCTAAAACATATTGGGTCTGCAGAGCCAGATTAATTCTAGGCCAGTGGCAAAGCATCCTGAGCCGAGGCCACCCCAGGGTCACTGGCCACCTGCCTCACCTTGGGCTGTGGCTGTGTTAGTTTGTCACTGGCCAGAGGCAAAGCCACTGCAGGGAACTGCATTTGCTTCCCTGAGTTACTGCTCTGCAGTAACTGTGGTTCTGTGCAGGAACCACAAGCAGGGTTAATGCAGGCAGCAAGGCCTGGTCTGTCACTGGCATTCCTAAAAACAGTCCTGGGACTATCCCCTGTGCCCAAAGGCAGCACAAAGAAGAGATCCGGGAAACGGAGCTTTGAGGCGTCTCTGGCTTTCAGCACAGAGATATTTCCTGCTGCACTTCAGGGCGCGGCAGCACCACGTCCTTCCTTGCTTGGCGTGTATTTAAGCAGCAGTCAAGAGTTCTGAAATTCCCTCCCCAAAGTCCTCTGAAGGTTAATACTTCCTGAGGGCCTTAAAAGAGCTGGAGATGAATACAGGATTATTTGATCAGAATTTATAGTATGAATTCTTCAAATAAAACTCCCCTTTACGTGAAGGGGAGAGGGGGATGTCACAGGACAGCAGCTCATCTCAGCAACAGATGAGACACTTTTCCTGCCTTTAAAAAGAAAGAAAAGCAAGGGCTGTATCCAAAAATCACTTTTTTATTGCCACTTTATACAGATTTAAATATTTAACATTCAGATAAACAACTACATGCTTATGTAGTTTCTTTTTAGTTACTTCACCATAATCTGGTAGAATCTCCCTTCCCACCTTCTGTAAGATTCCTTCCAGGGGATCCTGAAATATTCACTTTACATCTTAGTATCTCACAGCAAAAAAGAAAAGTTTTGAGTGAACTACATGGTGCTTCATGAAAAAAATATTACATAATGTAGGCTTTCACAATAAGTGACTTTTTTTTTTTTTTTTTTTCAAAATAATTTGAAGATTCCAAGTAAGACTTCTCTCTTTATTCAAAAAATAAATATATCCTTTCTGAATCAAAGCACTTCATGTGACATTAAGTACAAAGAAGAAATATACTTCTTTGGAAGTTGAGAAACAGACAGGAGCTCATGGGAGCAACATTATCCATATTCAGTGATAAAAGCTGAAAGCTGATTTTTTTTTTTTTACAAATTTATAGCAGAACATGATTTCCTTTTACAATATAGAGCTTCAAACAGATTTAAGAAAAACACCATTCTAAAAGTCTGAAAGGCACATGAACTGGACCATAAAACGTACTGGCGCATTCACTAATACGTTTTATGTAACATTCCTAAAGAGAAACTGTGGGACCCTAACCAAAAGAGACTGAAAATACCAGCAAGTTCCTTTGAAAAGTACTAAAAGAGTGACAGAGAGTTCCTCTTGGCACTGGATAAAATGGTTAATACCCCAAAGCAAGAAAGTCTGAGGAGCTGCATCATTCAGTTGTATTTGGTCGAGTGGCTACGTACACAAAGACAACAATCAGTAGCACTACAACAGCCAGGGTGGGAAGCACGACGGTGGTGATTTGTTGCCGGGCCTCTTGCATTGCCTGTTTTCTCTCCTTTTTATCTTTGGAGGTCTCTTTTTTGGGTTTTCCTCTTAGCTGCCTCATCCTCCTCTTTGGATCTTCCGTTCACCAAAACGGGGGAGGCGAAGAGAGTTGAGAAGCAGAAAATAGTCCAAGGTCTTTTGGAGCACAGGACTGAAGAATTACTGTTCCTTCAAGGGGTTGGCTGTGCAGGGAACTGCAAGAGAAGAAGAGAAACAATTCTTTTGAGCAAAATCTACACATATTCCAGTTATTAAAACCATTGCACCTCCACTTGGTAAATCTCTCCAACTGGCAGCAATACCTTTGCAACTTCTTTCCAGGAACCGGAGCTGCAGTGCACTCCCTCAGCTCATCAATAACACTTCCCATAAAAACTACAGCAGTTCATCACTCTGCCTGCATTTGTCCAGAAGCACTGAACCTGCACACTGCTGAGCCAGAAACACAGCCCAGCACCACACATTTTATCCTCTAAGGCAAACAATGTAACACAGATAAAGACTTAATGAAAATAACCTGATTAGTCTTGCATCAACACAGAGCACCAGCTGCCACTTCTAAGGGCAGCAGGCTCCCCACTAAAGGTCTGTGGCTCCCCACAAACCTCCAGAAGTTGGAAGGACAAGTGCACACCCAGCCTAAGGAAAAGCATTATGCATTTATCATCCTCACCAGGTATTTATTGGGGTGGGGAAAAGGGTCTTCTAACAGGAAGAAAAGTGGGGAAAAAGCTGGTTAACTTACACTTCTGGTTCTGCTGCCAGAGAACAAAGTCTAAATCATAACATGGCCCTGTGCTATCTCTCTTATTACAGCTGCCATTTCTATGAGAAAAGATCCCAAATGACAACCAACCTGCTTATAAATCACTGTTGTAGACAAGCAATCATTAATTAGGTGGTTGCTCTGAAGCATCTCCTAGACCTATTTTTACAAGCAGAAGTACCAATAAAGTGAGATTAACAAAAATACTGCACAATAGGAAAGCCTCTCTGAAATAAGAATTAGTAGGTGCTCAGTATTTCTATACCCTGATTTTTTTTCACCCCTGAGCTGCCTCCAGCTGTGTAATTCACTAACTGTGCAAGGAGGGAAGAAGGAGGAGGCCAACTGTGCACCCACCTCCCTCTTGAATGTAAACTACAAACCGATGTTTTTGCATCTCTCTCTAACATACAGAGAAAAAAACAGGTAGAAATTAGTGCCTTCATGCAACTGTCTCTTTTCCCTCCTCCTTTATACCAAAATATGATGTTAGCATGATACTGTACGTGAGGTCCAAGCAAAGCTGCACAGCTCAGTTCACCACAGACAACTTCCTCCTGCTGTGTCACCTGTGGTCAATGTAACAAGATGTCTAATGACTACTTTTTTTGTTGTTTTTTAAGAAAAGAAAAAAAGAGGGTTTCACTGGAAGTGGGATGCTTGCTGTTAGCACTAAACTTTATTTGGCAGCCTGGCAACAGAAGCAAAACCAAACTAAAATGTTCATGTACAAAACAAGAATCCCCACCTACAGGTTTTGTGCAACTACAAAGCAGTTCTCATCCTTTCACACACCTCCTGTGTCTCTCATCCAGCCAATCAGGCTGGTGAGATATCAATAGGGGTAAAGTGTCGAATAACTCTATTAACTCAAACTTATGGAAGTGAACGGACTATCAGAACAACTGTGGGGCACTGGAAAACCAACAGCAAATCAGTGGGTCAGTATTTCTGTCTTTCCATGGTTGTTCCTGGATACAATCTAGACAAAAAAAAAAAACAAACAATGACAGCTGGACAGGATCTTGGTGTTGACCTGGACTCACCAATCCTGCAACTCATGCACACACACCTTTGAAGTGGTTGTTTCTTCTGATCATAAAGTTTGCCAGTTCAACCTGGACTCTGAAGGAAACACTTCATTTCAGTATTGATACAGCAATGAAAAGGAATTTTTGTCAATTGGGATGATTTTCAAAAGAGGAAACAATAAAGTTCAAGTCTTGGAAAGAATCAACTCCTTCTGTAAACTACTGCACTAGAGTCAAAATACACAGCAGATTTAGAGAGGCCAGAAGTGGTCAGTGAACTTAATCATGGGGAGGCAAACTGGAATTGGATGGAGCACCTAGAACACCCTGTTCCAGTCTTTAAATCAACTGGGACTACTTCATTTCAAAACTTTCATAACTGTTTCTGCTCAGCAAATCCTCTCTTACTGGTTCAGAGCAGGGCCTTTGGCATTCCACCTTCTGAAAGCAATGAGTTTCTGCTTTGGTTTTGTTGGTTATCACTTCCATAACTCTGGACTTTCCTCTGGGGCAAAAGAAATATCTGTTTTATCCCTTCCATTTCTGTTTCCTTCTCTTCCTGCTCTGCTCACAAGTTTTATTTACCAGACTCTAGAAAAACTACTATGCAAAATTAAGTTTTATATTTGCCTTTTGGGGCAAGAAGACAACCATAGCATTTCAGGTACAGTATTTTCATATTGTTTTCTGGCTCCACTGTTAATGTACATCACTGGGTTTTGTATCCAGATTACTCACAAGACCCAAGAAGTGATGGACAGTAAAAGCCTTTGGGACTTTCTGTGTACCATAGTAACAAGCAGGAGTTGCCATGAAACCAGTCTCTCTAACAATAAATGTATGCCTTGCTCTATGCAGCATCACTTCCTACCCAGACATTAAAAACATCAGGATGTTTTTTTAAGTCTCTTTTGAATGAACATTTCATTCTGAAGCAAAATTATACCCAGTTAATGACATATACTAGCTAACATCTGAGAGTTAGAACAGAGCCTTCCTGCAACTGTCAGCACCAAGGGAACAACAGGCTGGTGCTCTCCAGTTTGGGAGCCTGGCATCAATTTTCAAATACACTTCCAGTAGATTGGGTTGCTTGGCTTTGCTACTGGCAGAGATGGACTTGCACAGAAACTGGCCCACAGTTGAGCCTTAGGGTTCATCTTGACCGAACCATAAAATGGAAGCAGTCACTCTCTGCAAGCTGCTGCCAGGCCCCGACTGCCGCAGGGAGCCCAGACACGAGTGCCAGTCCTAGACAATTGCTGCAAGGGACAACACTCCCCCACAGGAAAGGTCTGGAATGTTGAACATCCTGCTATGTTCATGTTGGTACAAAACAGCACTAAAAAAGCAGTGCTCGGCTGCATAAGTTGAAATTCAACAGCTCATGTTGTGCAAGTGGAGTTTACAGTTATCCCCTTCCACTGCCAAGCCTCTTACTGGCCGCCCATGGACTTCCCTGGAAGGCAGGTTACTACTGACAATCATGGAGAGAAAGAAACACATAGAGAAAGTACAGCAAGTCATGGTCAGGGCTGGGATTACAGTGTTAGGGGTCTCATTCCCTGTGACATGCATGGCCCATGAGAACAAATTATCTCATGTCACTGAGCTACATCCTCCTTAGCCAATAACTACCCTGCTCGTGCACTGGGAAGGCAAAACTCCAGCAGAGAAAGGAAAGAAAAAATATGGCATGGGAATTTGGTTAGCACTGGCCATTTAAAATGTCTCAGAGAAAGAAAATACCAGAAGGTCAATGAGAAAGTGATGTCTCACGGAGACTTCCATCTTGTGGAAACTGGAACCTTAACAATCAGCTAACCTCAGACTGCAGAAAAACTGGAAACTCACCTGTTCCCCTCAAAGGAAGCTGAGGATCTCATTTCCACCTCTAGCCTCCCCCAAACAGGAGAGGGCTCACTGCTGCAGCCTGTACACATCCTCCCAAGGCTGCTTCCCACTTCTGGTAACTGCTCAACCTGGCCCAAGGCTGGAAACAAACACCAAACTAGTTCAACTACTGCTTTTCCTAGAAAGTCAGTGACTCCCTCAACTGGGACATTTATAGGAACAGCACAGAAAGAATTAACAGACTCTAGCAAAAGTGTCCATAGTCCAGAACAGTGTGACAGGAGTCTGGCACTAGCCAGAGATGGTAACTTCACCCTCCTTTTATGAATTTTGTAATTTAAAATTTGGTAATAAAATTGCATGGGGAGATGAGTTTCTTTTTAAGTTCACTATAGCAAAGTTTCCCCCAAAAGCAGGAATCTGCTGGCTAGAAAGAAAGCATCTCAATTGCCAAGTCAAGATAATGAGTGTTGGCTCAGCACAGCTCTTTGAAACACCCATTGCACAGAGCCTGCCTCTTCCCTCTTACAGTGCAGTGCTCCAACTTGACACTGAAAAGCTAATGTCTCTAGCAGAACAAAACATTAGCAAGTTCAAGCTGCTGAAGACAAACCTAAAGACATCACACTTCAACATAATAAAAATTCATAAATTTAGTAGCCTGACTCAACATCTACAGCAATTACATTCCTATATGCCCATCATCCAAATAGCTTTTTCCATATAAAAATGCTCTTCATTCTGCCTTCTGGGTTAAGTTACTCTGAACTGTTTTTGCAGACCTAACCTCAAAACCTAAAAGTACAAATCAGTGCACTTGTTGAAGTCACTCATCTCTGTGCTGAAGCATTTGCCAGCACCTCAAAGCAAGTCAGCCATGGTTAAGCAGGGATCATTTTGTATCAGAAAGCTGTAGTGAAATTTGTGGGGACTGGTCCCCTTCAAAACATATCAACAATCTTCCAACCAGAATTTACAGCAATCAACTGTCCCCTTTGTGCTGCAGCATTAACCCTGACCATCAGTAATCTGCAATTAAAAGCCCCCCGCTCCCAGCACACACAGCTATTCCTGCATGCCAGAACAGCAGCCCCGACTGGCTACACCAGTGCTCCCAGTATTGCAGTTCTGCATCTCCTACATGCAACACATGCACAAAACAATTACTTTGCTTGCATTTAGTGTAACTGCATGTCTAGACATCTAATGAACTTATTATCACCACCCCTACAGGATGCATGTATTAGCCATGTTAAGATGAATAATTTTTCTCCAAATCCAAAATTACAAGTCTTAACAAACCGGTTTGGATTAATCTGGCCTCATTATCCTGCTACTGACACTGTTACATTTCTGGAACAGCAAAACACCTTGAAATTCAAACAAAACAATCTGACAAGAATTAATTTTTATAATTTAAATTTTCCCCCAGGGCCATGGATGCTACTGAAACATTAAAAATAAAACCAAACAATAAACCAGCAGACAATCAGGACACACTGTATTCAAATTGCCTGCCAGCAGTAGGGAAA